TCTCCCTTCTACGCGCCCCCCAGGGGACCTAGAGTGGAGACACCACTGGCTCACCATCAAGATGTGTTTTCCAAATGCTATTATCTTTTAGAAAAATGGGAACAGGTTGGGGGGCTCTTTCTTAGTCCTCACCACTGATAACTAATTGTGATGTCCTTTCAAAATGGACACATTGGGCTGTAGCTAGGTAAACAAACAGGGCCATGGCTGGTGAGTCTGGGTTTTTTAGGAACAATCTCAAACCATCGTTAGTCTCTGTGGCCCTTGGAACCACTCCTATTACCAGGAGTAGGTTAATGAAGGCAAGAAGTGCAGCTGTCTTCAGGTTCTTAAGGGCCCTGCAAAAGTGCTTCTCGGTAGCTAGAACTGAGTCCCAGGCCTCAGTCCAGCAAGTGGGAAAGCCTGGATTGGCTCATGGCGCTGCCCGGTCACAGCTGGGGCTGGAGCCGGACCCAGCTGCCCGCAGGGCACCTCAGTGAGGAGGCCACCTTGTGCACTCGTTTGACCATTCATCTGCTCTCCGGCTGGTCACCCCGGCTGGGAGTCCAACAAGAAATTAGAGCCCCTTTTGTGACAGCAGCATCAGCTCAGACAGGGCCTGCCCGAGGACACGCGGAAATGGCGTTCACCCCACTCGCAAGCAACGCCTGTGAGGCCTTCACTACTCCCGCCCACAGAACCTAGTGACAGCAGGCGGGACCCTGACCGCCGGGACCCCTCCAAAGCCAGGCCCGCTGTCCAGGAAGATCCGGTGCTGAAAACCCGAAGTCTGGCCTCCAACTCTGGATGCAGGAGTCAGATCTGAGCCTGGCCTCCCGCCTCCGGCCTCCTGGCCAGTCCACCGGCAAGCAGAGCCTTCACCTTTCACGACACCGGCCTCTGTGCGCAGCAGCCTTGCTGGGTCAGTTTCAGCCACTGTGTTAGTCACACAGTGAGGAGAGGAGGTCCCCCGTCTTTGATTTTGGGAAAGAGTTTGCTTAGGATTAATGTGCCTTTTCTCAAACGCTCGAGAGAATTCACCGGTGAGTCCAACTGTGTCTGGAGTTTTCTTTCTTGAAAACTGTTTGCTTGCAAATTTGATATAATAAATACATAAAGGGTTACTCAGATTTTTAAACTTATTCTTTGGTCCAGTTTGGTCATTTGGCCAAGGAATGTCTTCATCTCAAGTTGGTCAAATAGTCCCCTTGTAACCCTTACGGTAAGTAAAAGCATGATACCAGTTTCCGGGGTCAGTGTGGGTGGTCGGCATCCCCTGCATTTTCACTATGGTCACTGTAGCTGCGGGTTTACCCGTCATTTCCCTTCTTTTAAGACTCTCCGTCACTTCCCACTGCCTACTGTCTGAAAATACTAGAACCACACACTGTGTCTAGTTTTCTGGTTGTTTGTTTGATTTTTTTTAAGACTTTATTTATTTATTTTTAGAGAAGGGAAGGGAGAGACACAGAGAGGGAGAGAAACATCAGTGCGTGGTTTCCCCTCGTGCCCCACCCCCCCACTTCCACACTGGGGACCTAGCCCACAACCCAGGCATGTGCCCTGATTGAGAATCAAACCTGTGACCCTTTGCTTCGCAGGCCGGCGCTCAATCCACTGAGCCACACCAGCCAGGGCTCTGGTTGTTAAAGTGGAAGAACAAGTTCTGTAGTAATTATGTCCTCATGGATGGAAGCTGCAAGTAACAGAAAACCCTAATTGAATACTCTTAACTATAAAGAAATTAAGTTGGGCATTCAAGTACAATAATGAAGAGACATCATCTCCTAGAATTCGTGGAATGAGGAGGTAGGGTGGTCTTGGCCTCCCCTGGTTCCTGCACACCCTCAGAGCCCAGCGTGTCCTCCGGGAGCGTGCTCTGCCCTCTTCGGTGGCCTCTGGGTTCAGACCTTGCTCACTCACACTCACAATGCCTGCAGGGCCCGGAAGCCACAGGCAGACACCGGACGACGTGCCAGGGAAGAGAGACGTGTCCTTTCACAGGATGCTCTTCATCAACAGTAAAACCCTTCAGGCATATTTAGTTTGGGTCAATGATGTATAAGTCAGTATGGTTTTTTTTTTATCATTGTGGCTTTTTTTCCCATTTTTTGGATGGTGAACTGTTACACTGTATTTAAATAAAACCTAAATAATGGTTTTTGTATTCAAAGAACTTCAGCATTCAAATAAAATTACTTTTTATTTCCAAATGAACCCTGAAGGCTACTTGTCACCTAGAGAACCAGTACTGCGTTCCTCCCTTTCCCCAGTTCGCTCCATTCTCCAAATCTCTTTTCTATGTCTCTCCAGTATTTTACTGTCCCCGAGTTCCCAGCTTCTCCCTAATTTTGACCTACAATTTTCTTTTTTTCCCCCTTTCCTATGTCCCCTATTTTCCTTTTTATATAAATTCTCCATTCTGTCTGCAGACTCTCCCCTCCAGCTGGTCAAGCTGTTGTGTGTAACAGGCACAGCAAAGTGCCTTGGTGTAAGATGTGAACAGTCACACAGTTTTTTCTCTCCTTTTACACTAATCTTTACATACAACTTTTAGTCTCCCAGGAAAGAGATCTGTAAGTAATCTTTAGCTTTCCCCTTCCTTCACTGTAGTGTATTGTAGCCATTAAAAATAACTTAAAAGTCTTTGAAATTTCAATGGATTTAAGTTTCAGCAACAATTGTTCCACTTAAAACACTTGTACTAGTTACTCAAGCAGTTTTTAAAACTTAAATTTGAAACCTTTTATCAGAGTAACTTACAGATTTTAAAACTCAAATGGAATTTCTAGATTTATAAGGAGAAACAGCAGTTTCCCAGACCACACATTCCCACTGCCAATTCCTTCCCTTCCCTTTAACTCTTGTTTCTGATGTGGTGTCTTTCTTCCTCAGTCGTGTGTGTTTTCTGTGGACTTCCTAACCTAGAAGGTGCGGATTTAACTCTCCACTTCCCCGCCCCCCGCCCCATTTTCCTAGATACTGTGGGAGTCAAAGGAAAATGACTTTTCTCCCACCTAAGTTCTTCTAGTTGGGCTAATAGCCTAATCAACATGAGACAGGTTAGCAGAAAAAAAGTGTCCAAAATTTATCATGGATGACATGAGGGAGTACCCTAAGAATACACTTCTTAGGATGAATACCCCCTTAGGATGAGACCGGAGGATGCATTTAGTTTGGACAGAGGAGGAGGCAGGGATCTGGAATTTCAGAGGAATGCAGGTGATTCACGGGTAGAGGAGGAAGAGCAAGCGTGCCATACACAAATCCTTTCGGGGTCACCAGAAACAATGGCGAACGGAGGGCAGTTAGAGCAGCACACTTTGCTAGCTTCCTCCTTGTTGGCCACATGTTGATTTTTAAAGAATTTATTTATATATTTTTAGAGAGGGGGGAGGGAAGGAGAGAGGGAGAGAAACGTGTGTGGTTGTCTCTCATGTGCCCCCCACTGGGGACCCAGCCTGCAACCCACGCGTGTACCCTGACTGGGAATCAAACCGGTGACCCTTTGGTTTACAGGCTGGTGCTTAATTCACTGAACCATGTCAGCCAGGCCTTACCACTGAAATTTTGTAATGATGTGCCTTGGTGTGGATCTTTTCAGATTTGTTATGCCCTTTCAATATGAGAGCATGTCTTTAGATTTGGGAAGTTTTTTGAATTATTTCTTGAGTAATTTTTTTCCTCTTCATTTTCTCTGTTCTCTTTCCTATAATTATTTTCAGATGTTGAACTTCTTAATCTTCTAATTTTCTTTTTCCATGTCTTTTTCTTTGTTTTATTATCTGACAGATATCAAATTTATTGTCTTTTATCAATTTTTACATTTATTACTTTCTGAATTTTCAAGAGCTCTACCTTATTTCTGATTGCTATTTTATATGCCTTTTTGTTGTGGATGTAATATTATCCTCAGAACTGTCAATAATTAAGTTTTTATAACACTCTTTTCTTCTCCTAGGTCCTGGGCTGTTGTATTTTTCACTATTTTCCTGTCTTCCTTAAATAGGTTGATCCTTGGTCATCCGTGTATATTTAGGAAGGAGGCGGTAGGCTTTCTGGAAGCTCTGCGGGGTAGATGAGGATTGCTCAGTGGTCGGACTCATGTAAGCAATGGGGGGGGGGGCAGGGGCGGGTTGCTTTGGGCAGCAGAGGCTGTCTGCAAGCACGAGGCCCCTGCTCCTGAAGTCTGGTCTTCCTGGTTCCCGCCTCACACCACTAAATCCCCACTTCCACCCCTTTCCTAGGTTTGCTGCCTGCCTAGAAGTCCTTCTCTTCCGATCCCATCTCAGATCTCACCCTTCTGTCCAGGCTCAGCTCACACCACACCGACCTGCCATTGCACATGATAAACCTTACCCCAGGCTTCACTTGTTTTCCAAACATGATGTATGTTTGCTTCCCCAACCACAAAGTGCACTCCTTAGCAATAGAGACCATCTCACACACTTCTCCATGTAACCCTAGGCACCCAACCAGGAACAGGTGCTTTTACTCAGAAGAAAAGAAAAATATTTGTATCAACAGGGAATTAAACCCTTGCATGCCAAATGAAAAGTCCTTCCCAAATTGTTTAATGCGTGCATATGGTGTCCTTTCCATTTGGTTATTCTTTTGAGCACTTTATCTCCAAATGCTTTGGTCCTTGCAGGAGGCACCTTCCATGGCTCCTGCAGCCCTGCAGCCTCCGCTCCCGGGGCTCACGCTCCTCAGACACGCTGTGCGGTAGCGTGGGAACGAGACGCACCCTAACCTGACATTGTTCATAACTTTGTCAGTAATTTTTTTTAAATAAATGAGATTGGTTTCAAGGCTATTTTTTCTGCCATCATGCCTGCTACCTGCATGTCCTCCTGGCCCTAGAGAACAGGGCGGTGTCACAGGCAGAGGAGGTGCGCCGTGCAGAGCACTAGGGCTGCCCGATCTCCGACCGCGCGGGATCTCGACCCCGAGACGCAAAAAGGCCGAGATTTGGCTCAGAGTCCACGCTCCGTCCCGCGAGACAACGCGCGGCAGGACCTCGGTGCGCGCTCCTCACTGAACCCCTTCCTCCGCGGGAGCTGTCGTAGCGCGGACTCGCGCCGGAGGCCAGCGCCGGGCCACGCTCCGGCAGAAACAGCGTTGGGGACTCGACTGCCCGCCGTTCCACACAGGAGCACTGTCTGCGCACAGAGCAGGGAAGTGGAACGTCCCACCAGCGCCTGTGGAAAACTGGGACGTCGGTCATCACCTCAGCAGCTAGGCGCCGTTCCCCAGACAACGGGCGCGGCGCCTGCGCACATCGCTCTTGTGCCGCCAGCATTGCTGGCCGCTTTCCCGAAGCCTGCGCACCTAGCTCCTCCAGCACCTCGGCCCCGCCCACGCGCTGGCGGTCCCTAGAGCGGAAGCTCCCTGAGCGGAAGCGGAAGTGGGCGAGCAGCTGCTGCGGGACTGAAGTCTGAGCGGGCGTTTCTCTGGCCCTGCTGGCGCATCTCTAGGTAGGGCTGGGTCTGCGGGGCCTGCGCTGTCCTGGCGCCGGTCTCCGCCTGACGGCCTCGGCCCCGCTGGCTGCGCTCGTGGGTCTGCGTCGTGGCCGCCCGAGCTGTGAGCTGAGGGGCGGTCCGCGGTCCCCTGCCTTTCCTCGACCCTGCAGTTCCTCTCCCGCGTTCGCTTGTCTAGTCACCTGCGCACCTGCCCCGGTGCCCCCGCCTCCTCCCTCAGGCGGGTTCTGGGCAGCCCAGTTGTCCTTAGGGGTCCGGCTGTTGCGGTCATCCCCCGAGCCTGCCGCGCCCTCCACCCCGCGCCGCCGTCACCTCGGCTCTGATCCTGAACCGCCACTCTAGCCCCTGGCCCTCGGGGACAGAAGGTTGATACGGGCTCCCCTCAGTCCCAGAACTTCACCGACGGCTTTGAGCCGAATTTGGATAGTGTCATGGGGAGGGAGCAGGGAAGAGCCACTCCTCCCTGCCGAGAAGGGGGTCTAGGTGTGTGGCGGCGGGACACGATGGGGGGAAAAAAACTATGGTCACCTGCGGGGGGGGGGCGGGGAGGACGGCAGTCGGGTGTATGTCATGGAGAGACCCGGCGGGGAAGACGCACCGCTGCTGCCCGCGACTCCAGGACCGCAGAGACTGACACAGTTGTAGCCCTGTTGTTTGGTTGGAGTTTTTTGTCTTTCAGCTTTTGTCTCTTTCTTGTTTATTTACTTACTTATTTTTTTTTTTTTTTTTTTTTTTTTTTTTTTTTAGTCTTTCTATCCTTTTGCTTTCCCCAGGTCAGCGTCCTGCATTCCTACCGCTGGTGTGCCTGCCTCCAGTGCCCTTTCCATACTCTTTTCTGCTTAGGAGCCAGTAGTTATAATTAAATAGAAAAATAGTTCGTAGATGGTAAGTCGGAGCTGGAGGAAGTCTCTGATAAAAGTTCGTTTTAGCTTTACCTCATGAATTTAAAAAAATTTGTGCTTGATTCTTATTCTGAGTTCTGAATAAATGAGGCCTCAAGTTTTACAGTTCTGCACACAATTTTCTTCTGTGGGGTGACAGTGATTGTGTTCCATTGGCCCCTGAGGGGCTGACCGACTGCAGGGGGCGGGAGAGGCCCAGGGCCCTGCAGCTGGGTTGCCCCTGGGGTCCTGGTCATTCTGTTAGGGCCCCTGGGACTGGGAGAACCTTCCAGAAGGACAGACCTGGGACTGAAGGGCAGAGTGCTGGGTGGGCTGTGTCCCAGTGAAAGGGCCGAATGCTTTTCCAGTCTCTGCTTCTCAGCAGCCACCTGGGACCTCACACTCCTGGCACTGCCCAGCTCTTCCTGCCTCTGCCAGCGTGCGCCTGTTGCACTAGAGCCTGAGCAAAACTGACCGGTGCCAGCTGGACTAGAGGGACGTTTGCTCTCTGATTAAAAACATAGCCATGGTCTTTGCAGAAAATGGGTAGAACAAAGAAATGTTTAAGTGTACAACTTTACATGTTTTGACCTATATGCACGCCAGGTTTTTTCCTGACCAACCTGGGCCTTTGCCTCCCTCTTCAAAGATCCAGATCTTAGACAGGGACTTGGTCTTGTCCACTGCTGTGTCCACAGCTGTCAGCTCAGGGCCTGGAGTGCGGTCAGCTCCACACGAACCTTAGCTGAGATCAGGTGGGGATGTAACCCTTGGACCTTTGGTCTATCTGGGGGACCAGGATGTGGTCTCTGTACCGTCCTCAGTCATCTGCAGTAGGAGATGGGGTTCTGTAGCCCCAGAGGGAGGGTGCAGGCCCTTGGGCAGCCAGAATAGCCATTGTCCACAGACGCCCCCTTCATCTCTAGTCTTGCCGCCTTCACCCTCCTCCATGACAGCGGTAGGGCAGTGTTGTTGAAATGCTCGTGTTCGGGAGCCTTCACTGTGCCCTGACTTGCCTTCAGATGAAGTGTAAACGCACGTGTGGTTTTCAGGTCCCTTTGCCGGCTGGCTCTGTGGCAGCAGTCTCAGCTCTCCTTTTCCCAAAGCAGAGGGGCTATTTTTTTTCCCATTTTTTTGCTTGAGGCACAGACTTATACTTGAAGTTGCAGGTCAAACAAGATAAAATGGACATGTCAAGCACCTTAGAAACATCCACTTAATAATAAAATGGATTATGGACTTGATCTCCACGGACTTAAATTTATGCCTCTTCATTCTTGCATCAGGCCTCCCGTTTGCCTTGCCTCCCTTCTCCATCTGGCTACTCAGGACGGCCATCATGGATCCCAGATCTGGGCTGGGTCTTCCAGACGGGGCACGTGTGTTCCCCACGTTCACAGTCTCTGCCCTTCTGTGTCCTGCAGTTATGCCCCAGTGCTTGTTGCCTGTTGGACAGGTTTCTGCCGGAGGGCAGGGCTGAAGGTCTGTCTCTCGTTCGTGGCTCTGTGTCTGTTGCAAAGCTGCCGGCTGACCGAGTTAACCAGGTTTCTGTTCAAATGAAACTACGCTGGTGGTGGTGAGAGCTGAAAGCTGATGCGTTGTTGCTCCATATGGACAGCCTGTCGGAGAAGAATGGCCAGGAGATGCCTTTACTTTGTTTGCCTCAGCAGTTTCACGTCTAAGATTTCACCCCAAGGAAGTGACCGACGCGTGCCCACAGATTTGTATATGTGGGCCTGATTCATGACCTTACTCACAGCACTGGCACTAGCCTGCACACTCCGCAATAGGGATGCGCAGTTCACACACACGTCGCGTGCCCATTGAAAATGGCACTGCGAGAGACGAACGCGCTGGTTTGGGGATGTGTTCACAGCAAGTGCAGACACACAGTAGATTATAGAAAAGCACTAGGAATAGACCCTCTAATGTGTTTGATACAGCCCTTGTCTCTGGAAGATGAGGTTATAAGTAGTTTTTCTTTGTGATGCTCTGCTAAGAACATGGCTACTTTTTTACAAAATTTTTATAAACATACTCCCTATATTAAAAAATAACCATTATAAAAATTGTAAGTATAGTATACCCTCACTAATATTAAATGGCTTCGTTTTAAATTTTGAGATAATTTAAGAATTTTGGACTGGTGCTGGCTGGGCAGATTTTACTTAACTTTAGGCAGCTGATGAATAAATTTATAATTAAATGAAATTGCATCACAATAATTTATGAGGTAGCTGTTATAAAGCTCACTTTACAGATAAGAAAAATGAAGCTTACAGAGTAAGGTAAGCTGCTCAGAACTTCCCTGCGAGGAATGGCAATTAGAGTTTGACTCGTTGCAGATTTGTTCGAGAGCCTTCCTTTTTGCCAGCAGTACTGCCCGGCTTTGCCACTTTGCCCTAGGACACAGCACAGAGGGCGCCACCAGCAACTGAGCATCTGCACCCGGGTGTCTGACAGTCTGCACCAGGACTTGGGGGCGGTCCTCTAGGGCATCAGCCTCTGGGCAGGTTTACCTAGGCACAGTGAAGTGCATCACAATAGCTGCAGGCTTCCATTTCTCGTTGGAATAAGCTACTTCTGACATGTGGAACAGGAAGGAAGACTTTGTTCAAGACTTGCCATAGGGGAGTGGGATGGGGCTTCACCTCACACACAGCAAGGGTAACTTGGAGTTCACAGCCCACAGGCAGGGTGAGGGGTCTGATCGGATGTTGAGCTGGGCATTCTCTCTACACTGATTCAGCAGGTGTCTTCTGAGGGAGACTGGGCTCTGCAAGGACGGAGGAGCGTGGAAGCCCAGAGTCGAGGCCTCAGGGGCCCAGAAGAGGCTACCAGGGGCGGATCCCTTGGAACCAACAGCCCCTAATCCTACCCCTCTGTGGAAGGGCTCATCATAAATTGCTCTCAGTGGGTAAGGCAGGAGGACAGGAGAGAAAGAAGAGCAGGTTTCAGATGTTCCACACGAGCCAGGAGGGCCCCACTGAGGACCGCGGGCAGCCAGTGTGGGACTGTTGGAGATTCAGGTGCACAGGGCAAAGAGGGCTACACCTGTGTCCTGGTCACCCAGAGCCGCTCAATTCCCACAGGTGTGCCCTTGACTTTCCTCTCTACTCCTGACCTGAGCCCATACACTGCTGTTGCCTGTTAATTTGTAGGTTTTTGTTTGGAGTGTGAAGGTTATGGTTTTGTTGCTCAGTAAGACACTAGCCAGCCTGTCTCCAACTTAAAAGAGCTTATTTTAACCAACTCTAGCTCTTCAGATGCCCTCTGCACACGGGACACATCGCCATGGCTGTCCACTGTCCCTCCCTCTGGATGCGTAGTCGGCCCCCTCCTGTTAGCGGCAGGTGGTGTTGGTGTGTTGTTGCAGAGGCATGCTGCGCTCCATTTCTCTGTCTGTCCGTGGACAGGTTGTTAATAAAGCAGCTTCTGGACTTGTCTGTCTTCTGTCCACTTCCTTGTTTATGGGTGACCCAGTACCTGGGATTGGGTGGCTGTGAGGATAACAGAGCCATCCCGGGGAGTGAGGCCACCTGGGGGTGGGAGCACTCCCTGTGCGCTTGCTGGCCGCCCCCGTGAGTCCCCTGCACTGATGCCACTCCAGGGAAGTGGCTCTGCTTCTGACTCTCCCTTTGCCTGTATTTGGAGCCCATGAACTTGGTGATTCCTGATCTCTGTTCACACACTGCCATTGGTCTGTTCACTCACACACCCTGGGTCTGTGCCCGGCGAACATGCTGGGTATCAGGGACTCCACAGTGGGACGTGTGCCCCAGAAAAGCTCTCAGTGGTGGAGCTGATGCCCAGGCTGTGTTTTGGGCAATAAAACTACTGAATGAGACAGAACTCCTGTTTTCCTTCTAAACAATGAAAATTTCCTTATAATTTGCAGGTAGAATCAAAGGTTTAAAAACCCAAAAAATTGGTTAAAAAGGTGATGTCCACAGAATTATATTTTGATGTGTTTTGCTCCCCACCGCACCGCCCCTGTTGGCGGATGGCAGGTGGCAGGTGGGTGGGGATGTGTCGAGCCAGAGTATGGAAGGGCCTCTCACGTCAGGTTCCCAGACCTCCACACATCTGGGTTTGTCTGCAGGTGCCAAGGGAGAGCACATCGTGAGGTGACATTGCTGAGAGAGTTTGTCATTTGAACTGGGAGAGGCTGGCTGCGTGAAGGGCAGGAAACACCGGAGTGTGTTTAGTTAAAATGGTGAGCTTTTCACGACTGGGGTGAGAAAGGAGGAACGACATGTGAACAAAATCAAAGCAGAGCCGAGTCCTACTCTGTACAACAAAGAGGAGAGTGTTTCAGGAAACTCAGTGTTGTCACTTGCAGTTTCAGTAGAAAAATGCTGGAAACACAAATCCCTTTTTGTTGGCTAGGGAAGGCAGCCAACCTGCACGTGGCCTGGCCGCTGTGCGAAGCGGGCCTGGCCGTGGGAGCGGGGGCGGCAAGGCAGTGAAGGCAGAGTTGACTGCATTCCCACTGCTGCTGGTGAGCTTGGGAGGTCCCCACAGCACCCAGCCTCCTGGAGTGAAAACTGGACACGGAGTCACGCTCCTGCTTTTGCTTTGCTCATCAACAAACCTCAAGAGCCTGCTGTTTTCAAAGAGAATCATAGAATAATGGCCTGGGATTTGGGGAGTCTGAGGCATTGTGACCACCTTGTGTCCTTGGATGCCCTCTGTAGACCTGCACCTGCCCACGATGGACAGTCCCAAGAGCCCTCCCAACTCTCAGCAGAAATAGGGTGTCGCCTTCCTAAATGCAGGAGGGTCTGTGCCTGCAGGTCCAAGTGACAGCCTCAGAGTTGAGATGGTTGTGTAGTGAAGTCCCGTCTGCCTCAGAAGCCGCAAACCCTGTGACGTTCCCTCGGCGAACACCACACTGGGAAGAGCTCTGTGTCGGGCTGGGGCGTGTGTGTCCCTTTCAACATGAGTGTTGACCTGTGTCCACTCAACTTCTGTATTTTCTTCCCGTAATGGCTCTCACACAGGGAACTTCAAGTTCTCCCGGGGCCAGTGTCCTCCAAAAGGCAGTAGATGCTTCACTGGTGACCCTGTGCCAGTTCCTGTTCTTAACCTGGCCCGATGTTCAGAGTTCCTTCACTTGTGAAACAGCTTTTAGGTGTTTGCCTGTCCACGCCGTCTGAGCAACGCAGGTCTTTGTCCTCAGAGCGCAGCAAGTCTGTGCTCAGTCCTAAGCCCAGGAGAGGAGAGGCTCCGTGTTCTCATGCCGCCTTTTGCAAAATAAGGGTTTTTTGTTCTGTTTTATCAAAGGACACTAAGCCCCGACAATGTTGAAAACCAAAGTGAAAAGCACAGGCCATTAAGGTGAAAGATGTCATCCTGGAATTATTTCTGACCTTTGATGGATGATGTTACCTACTTGGTAATGTCTTCTGTTACAGCTTTTATTATGTAAGGACCTCTTATAAAGTGCTCTGCCTAGGTTTGCTTCAGATTCTGAGTTCTAACTTTGAACTACATTTTAGAAAAGGCAGTTTTCCATCCAGAGTTGTTGACCATCTCAGATGCTGCAAACACAAACTTAGTGGCAGTGTACTTTTTCGCACTGTGCTTTGGGTCTGAGGTTGGGGGTCTGTGTGTGCGGAAGGCCAGCTTTGGTCACAGGTGGGTGTTCTACTGTGTGGAGGGTCAGCGCCTGTGAACCATGCCTTGTTCAGGGTCAACTAGTCGTCTTTTTTCTTTTAAGGTTTTATTTTTTTATTTTTAGAGAGGGGAAGGGAGGGAGAAAGAGAGTGAACCATCACTGTGTGGTTGCCTCTCACATGCCCCCTACTGGGGTCCTGGCCCACAACCCAAGCCTGTGCCCTGACTGGGAATTGAACCAGTGACCCTTTGGTTCCCAGGCCTGTGCTCAATCCACTGAGCCCCAGCAGCCAGGGCTAGTTTTCTTTTTTAGCCCCTTCACTGAGGTGTAGTTGACATAAGAAAACTGCATATGCTTAGAGTTTACGGTTTAACATGTGTTTACCTGTAAACCTACCACGACCAAAGTAGTGTTGGGTCCTCCACCCCTACAGTCTCCCCTCCATAAGTCCCACTCTCCTTCTCAGTGAACGAGAATTTTATGTAAATGGAAGTCATGCCATGTGTACTTTGGGTTTTCATCTGGCTTCTTGCAGTCAGAAAAATCATTTTGAGAAGTATTAGTTTATGTTTTAGGTTTTCAAAGTTAATTTCTCTTGGGGTTCCTAGGTGGGGAATATCACTTCTTTGAAAACTGTTAGCGTCTTTTGAATCCAGTTGACAAATCTCTTGACTAGTAGTCTCAGTTAAAATCTTGAAAGATGCTGCACTGTGTTGTCCTTGTGAAAGGCCACCTCCGGTGACCTGCACTTGGGTCCGGTTCCTCCCAGGTGGTCAGGGAGCTCCCTGCAGGCCCCTTGGGGGCGTGGCCTCTGCACATCACTGGTCGTGCTCTGTGAGGGGCTGTGCATCTGCAGGTAGTGCCATAACAGCTGCTTGCTTTCCTTTCAGATCCTGCCAGGAGTCCGGCCATGGGTGTGAGAGGCTTGCACGGGTTTGTGGGAAGTAGCTGCCCGCATGTGTGCACGGAGGTGAACTTCCGGGAGCTGGCTGAGCGGCACCGCAGTGAGCACCCAGGCTGCATCCCCACCATCGTCGTCGACGCCATGTGCTGCCTCAGGTACTGGTACACTCCCGAGTCCTGGGTCTGTGGCGGCCAGTGGAAGGAATACTTCTCTGTCCTGGAAGACTTTGTGCGAACATTTACCTCTGCTGGCATCAAGCTGGTGTTCTTCTTCGACGGCATGGTGGAGCAGGACAAGCGAGACGAGTGGGTGCGGCGGAGACTCAAGAACAGCAGGGAGATAGCTAGGATCTTCCGCTACATCAGGGCACGTGGGGAGCAGCCTGGCAGGAACATGTTCTTCATCCCCTCGGGGCTGGCCATATTCACACGCTTCGCTCTGAAGACCCTGGGTCAGGACACAATGTGCTCCCTGCAGGAGGCTGACTACGAGGTGGCCTCTTACGGTCTCCAGAATAACTGTCTGGGGATTCTCGGAGAAGACACCGACTACCTGGTTTATGACACCTGTCCCTACTTCTCCATCAGTGAGCTCTGCCTGGACAGCCTCACCACCATCATGCTCTGCAGGCAGAAGCTCTGTGCGAGCCTGGACCTCGGCCTGCCGGACCTCCCTCTCCTGGCCTGCCTGCTAGGCAATGACATAGTCCCAGAGGGCACATTCGAGACCTTCCGGTACAAGTGCTTGTCTTCCTACACCTCCGTGAGAGAGAACTGTGACAAAAAAGGCAGTGTTGTCTTTGCTGTGGCAGACCACATATCTAAAGTTCTTCGCTTACATCAAGGTGAGAAAAAGCTAGAAGAGATGTTACCTTTGGGACCAAACAAAGCTCTTTTCTATAAAGCAATGGCATCATATCTGTTGCCAGGACAGAAATCTCCATGGATTTCCCAAACACCCAAATCTGTAACAACTTTGGACAAGCAAGAAGTTCCCATGAGTTCAGACCCTGATTCCAAGCAAGAAGTGCCAATGAATTTGGAGTCCGAAATCAAGCAGCAAGTAACCATGGTTTCAGACACTGAAATCTTAGAGGTATGTGGATGTGCCCACCCAGATCTAGTACGTCCAATTGAAAACATTCCCACTGTGGATTCATGAGTACTTACTCCCTACAGTGGTCAAGGCGCTGTGGGGACGCGGAGTGGGACCTGGGGAGTTTAGTTAGGGAGCGTGATGTGAGTTGTGAAAACTCCATTATAAACCACGTCCTGCAAAAAAATGGTTTTTCTTCTATTGATTCTAGACAGGAAGGGCGGGAGAAAGGGAGACAAACACTGATGCACAAGAGCAACATCAGTTGGTTGTCTCTTGCACACACTCTGACTGGGACCAAACCTGCAACCCAAGCATGTGCCCTGACTGGGAATCGAACCTGTGACCTTTCAGTTTGCAGGACAATGCCCACCCAACCGAGCTACACCGTTCCAGGGCCATGGGCCGTGTCTGGTGCTGTCACAGGAGTGTTACAGAGGGAGCTCTGGTGCTTTGGGGGCGAGCAGTCACTGTGGGTTAAGGCACAGAGGGAAGGTCCCAGGAAGGTGGAGGTGGAGCCAGACCTTCACGGGGCTGACGTGTGCTTTGAACAGGCAAAGACTGAGAGGTTGGTGGGCAAAGAGGTGCAGAGTGTGCAACCCGGGTTGCCTGGGGACAGTAGTACTAGCAGGTAGAGGGTGGGGTTTCAGTGCAGAAGTAGGGAGAACAATCCAGAAAAGGTGGACGGCAGCCAGATTGTGAAAGTTGCTGGATTCCACACCAGGGATTTGGACTGAAGGTGGAAAGCAGTACAGAGCCCTCCGGGTTTTTGATGGGAGGACCGCTGTGTGTCAGGCACCGGTGTGTGAGGCTCTGTGTCAGGGCATCGCTCTCTCATCGAGGCCTGTCAGGGATAAGGGGCATGCCCACAGGAGCACCCACGGGCACCTCGAGTTCAGCACTGGCCTCTTGACGTCACACACACACCTTTCCTCGTCCTGGATGGTGCGCTCTGCCGTCTCTCATCCCATCATGCACAGCGCAAACCTAGGACTCAGCTCTGGCTTCTCAGATGCGGTGCCCCCAAGCCCCGTGCTCTAGTCCAGGCTGTCCTGGCGGGGCTGTTGCAGCAGCTGCGAGGCTCTTCCAGGGTGGCTCCTGCCCGGCCAGTGCGACTTGTCACACTGCAAACAGAGTGGATCCCTGGTCGGTGACTCGTAACTGCTCTCTGGGCGAGGCTGGGGCCTGCCAGCCCTCACCCCTGTGGCAGCTCGGGCTGTATCATCCTCTTGTCTCCAGCCATCCTGCCTTCTTACCGGTCACTGGTCTTTTGGTCTCTTCTGTCACAACCTCAGAAACAACCTGGAACCCCTGTGGTGCCTGTGCCACAACTGACAGTGCCGCCCACGCCCACTGGGATTGCACCTCTGGCACGTGTCCTGCTAGACAGTGGCGGTGACAGCTGGGCAGGGTCTTGTTTCTCTCACCCCAGGCCCTGTGCCTGTGCCTGTGCACTGTCTGTGGGGGCAGCTGCTCCTCACACCTCGAAGATGAAGGTGTTTATTCCCTTCATCTTCTAGCTTTAGGTTCTGTCCTTCTCTGTTATATCAATTTTAGCAGACAAGTAACTTATTAACAGAAAGTAATAATAAAAATAGAATAGAATGCATGCTCTAGGAGAATTCCAGGTGGAAAAGTATTAAGGAGTTCAGACCATTACTCTACCCGGAGGCACTTTCTTATGTTGTTCGATGAAGGACAAAGAATGAGAGCTGGAAGCTGGAGGGATAGAGTCCTGGACTGCCACTTGCTGGCGCCGACAGACAGGAAGCGAGATCAGCGTGGCGGGGAGGTTGGCTGTTGGCTCAGCGCACAGGGTTGGGAACACGGAAAGGAGCATCTGGTTCGCACTGAGAAAAGCCAGGTCTGCACCTGGCTGGAGTGTTCTCAGTCGCGTCCTGCAGGTGGGTTGGAGGAGCCCGGGTTAACTGGCCCGTGCAGAGCTGACTCTCCAGCAGTGCCGCATGGGCAGTTGGTTGTGACTGTCACCCCTCGTGTTACCTCTTTCAATCCTCACACAGCTCTGCCGCTGGTGTACTTGTTTCCATTCTCACCTGGGCACACAGGCGTTGTGTGTGGTCACAAACTACCCCTGTGTGAACCCAGGCCTTTGACTGCAAGTTTGACTCTGCAAGATCACACCCTCCTTACTTGCTGGCCTGGAGGCTCACTGGCCCCTGGAGAGCGAGCTGAGACTGCTGTGGTAGTAGTCTGGGAGCATGAGAGTAGAGGTGGCCTCTGAGGTGGCCCATGGAGCCTGAAGGACGGGGGGACAGGCACGGAGGCAGAGGAAGCCGCCGAGCAGAGCCGCTGGGGCATGCAGCCTGGCCACCTGCCAGCATTCGCAGTGCCAGCCTGGGCCCTCTCTGCTGCTTCTGCCGCTTCTCTTACACTCCCGTCCCCATCTGTGTGTGGCCGCGCATGTGTCCTCCCTGGGCTTGGCCCTCTCTGTGAGCTTGGGCAGCAGCTGCCCCCGTGACAGGACCCACCGGTGGCCTTGGCCGCTGTAGTGGGCATCCTGGCCCCTCAGCTGGTTTCCTGCCAGTGCAGTGCCTACAGACGAGGTCAGACCACCAAGGGCAACCGAGTTTTCTGAGCACACTCAGGACTCAATTTTTGTGCTCACCGGAGGGGGTGCTGGAGATCTGAGCAGGGTGCGATGTACCGTATGCTGTCTTTGGAAGCCCTGGTTGCAGTGCAGAGCCAGGACTGCAGGGGCTGGTGCAGAGCCCAGGCCGAGGGTGGAGGGACTAGACATATCTCAGCAGTGGAACTGATAAAAAGTCAGCCTTTCTGTGGGGGCAGGAGAAGGGGAGGATCCATGGGCAGCCATGTGACAGCCAGAAATGGGGATCTCAACGTCCACTTCTGGGCAGCAGACAGGTGTCAGCGAATTATCCGAGGGGGTAGAAGCCGTCCTGGTAGAAGACCAGGGTGGAGCCTGAGAAAGTGTGGCCCCGAGAGATGAGAGGCAGTGGAGGTGGGGGAGCAGAGAATGACTACAGCGTGGGATCCAGGAGGCAGGTTTGAGGCATGGGGAGAGAAGGCCAGGGTGTCCCAGGCTGCAGAGGGGAAGCTGGGTCAGGACTGAGAGAGGCAGCAGGGAGGTTTAGGTGGCCTCTGCACACTGTGATTGCCCGGGGCCGTGGTGGAGGTGAGAGTACAACGGTTTGGGAGGGAACAAGGGGGTGAGGACAGGGACCCGGGCCTGTGTGCAGGCAGGACGGCGGGTGGGGCTGGGAGGTCCCCGGTTTGCTGCCTCCGGGCAGAGAGCACGGTGCCCTCCTAGACGGTGGACTGTGTGTTGGGCACACAGTGACACACCTACTGGACTTAATTATGTCTTTGAAAATAAACGGAAGTTTCTTAAGTGCCTCTTACATTTTACCTTAAAGTTTTTTTCAGTTGCATCTCTCAGCCTATCAGATAGGCAACCAGCGTCTAAGCACACATGCATTTTAACCACACTCATCACCCCGGGCACCCCATGTGCGCTTGCCATGTGGTTACGTGATGTTGGATAAACTGAACTGTTAATAGTTTTAGAACTGTGGACTACGTGAAGGTGCTGAGGGCCTTCCCAGAGTAGAGTGCTCTGTGTCCACAGTGAGGGGCAGAGATAAGAGCCACTCACTGGATGGTACCGAGTTAGGGGATAGATTGAAGTTGTAGTTCAGAGAGCATAACTGAAAACCCTTTAGACACCCACACGAGAATGTGATATTTTGAAATCTGCATAGTTGCTAAAATTTAAGATTTCTTGATAGGGTAAATATGATTTATAACTTCCTAGAAAAATTTGTCAGAATACCAGTTTGTTAGGATTTTTAAAAATCAGAAATGGTGGAAGAGTAGAAAAACAAATTAGAAACTGTAGCCTTAAAGGATCACGAGCTACATAACCAACATTTCCGGTAGATTCTCTGTCAAAAGGAACACATGGAGAAATGGGTCCCTTCTGACAATCTTCAGTTGGTTGGAGTATCCAGTAATAGCTCTTTAAAATCTTTTTTTAAGCCTTACTTACCTGAAAGCTGCTAGCCTGTCTGCCGTCTTCATCTAAAGAGATTTTGGCAACGCCATGTTGTAGAAACACGGCATAGTGGTCTCTCCCGCCGTATGTGCGGTAAGTCAGCTCTGGTGAGCATGCGCAAAGTGCCAGGCCAAGCACGTGTCCTTGTTGCTGTGTCCAGTCCTCACGGAAGCTTGGTGAGGTGGGCACTTTTTGTTAACCCTATTTCATTTACAAAGAAAGTGAGGAATAAAGAGACTAAGACTCAAGTCAGCAATGCTGACTCAACATAACTTGTGTGTATGAATAATGAGATGGTCTGATTCACAGTTTTTGATATTCCAAGTTATCCTCATACCACATTTAAAATGCTGTTAGCTGCAGGCTGTTTGGATTTACTTTTTTATATAGTATAAAGTTTTTATATTTAGAATTAGCCAGGTGGACTTATTTTAAATGATCCCAATTTTGTTGGCAACACCCAAAGCATCATAGTCTGGAGCCAGTTGAACAGATGCCTTCTTCTCCCCATCAGGCCTGATCAGGGTATTGACCTTGGCCGCATCGGTGTCATGCAGCTTCTTCACAGCCGGTTTGATCTGGTGCTTGTTGGCCTTGACGTCCACAGTGAACGCAAGTGTGTTGTTGTCTTCAGTCTTCTCCGTGGCTGACCCAGCAGTCAGGGGGATCTTGATGATGGCATAGTGGTCAGGCCTGTTTCTCCTGGGGGCGCTTTCCCAGGGGTATTTAGGCTGCCTTCCCAGCCGCAGTGTCTCAGGACTCCAGAAGGTGGGTGACGTGTGGATGTTCTTCTTTTGGGGGCTGTGGACTCCTTTTAACACTGCTTTCTTTGCCTTCAAAGCCTTTGCCTCGGCTTCAGCTTCAGGAGGGGCAGGGGCTTCCTTCTTCGCTTTGGGCACCATCCTTGTGAAGAGCTGCATTTACATTTTGGATGGTGGTGTCAGTGAATTTATTCCTGCAGCGATAAGAACATTCTTCACGGGAGAGTAAAATCTGTACGTAGGTTCTTGTCGCCTTTCTGATGTTCGGTTCTCGTTGAATGAGAACTTGAGAACCACACGTCTGCTCACCTACCACGTGCCCAGGCGTTGCAGGCAGGAATTGACGCAGGCTCAGCTCTTCACTCTCTAAGAAATTAGTGAGCAAAGGCGTGAGTGGGACAGTTTCTCCTCCCAAAGAGGTTGCGGTTCGGTGGAGGGATCAAATCAGAAAACCACCCTCTGCAGGGTCGCTCGCTGTTCGTCAAGTCCCATGCGGAGGGGACCAGAGGGCTTATGAGGAGGGTGAGCCAGGGGACCCTCCAAGGAGAAGGGTGGGTGAGGCGGGAGCTGCAGGAGTGCATGTGCCTGCTGGGGGCTCCAGGAGGCCCAGAGGGCTGTATGGGGATGGGGTTGAGGCCTCATCCGGGGACCTGGGCTGCAGAGGCACAGATGCGGGCCGTGGGTAGACCTCCGTCTGTGGATGGAGGGGTGAGCTTGTCTAGCAGCCTCCCCCTTGGTGGACACAGGGCCGTGCTGTGGAGTCAGTGAGTCTGGCGGGTGCTCGGGGCCTGGAGGGCAGGGAGCCATGGAGAGCTCCAGCCTGGAAGCCCAGGTGCCAGCTTGAGTTTGGGGGACAGTCGTTCCACTGCTGAGTCTTCATAGCACTGATGTAGGGCACAGGCGCTCACGTTTTCTGTTTAAAGGTTGTTCCTCCACTCAAGGAGAAACCCACTGTGTCTAAATTCTGAACAGGTTGCCAGAGCCCATCACGTGCAGGCAGAGAGCTACCTGGTGTACAGCATCATGACCAGCGGGGAGGTCGAGTGCAGCAACACCCTAGAGGATGCGCTGGACCAGGCCCTGCCCAGCCAGGCCTTCGTGTACCGCCCGGTGCGGCAGCGCGTCTACTCCCTCCTGCTGGCGGATGGCCAAGGTGAGTCCTCGCGCCCGCGCAGGGGGCTGGTGAGTGCGGGGACTCAGGCCAGCTAAGGAAGTGGACACCGCTCAGGCAGGTGGTTCTCCTCGAAGTCTGTAGTGGAGAATGCCACCGGTGTTCGAGGGACGTTGGGGTCAATGCCATGGGCATCTGCATGTGACCAGCCAGGGGTTGGTCCGCGGTCGTTAAAGAAAGTGTGTTGTTTCTATAAAATGTTGTATTTTATGTCTTCAAAGGACTTGTGCGTTTTAAAAGTAAGAAAACCCTTTCCTCCTGTGGGAGTGTACGTATGTTTAAAATGTAAACAAAATTTTTCTTTAGGCTATTTATAATTAGGCTCACGGGGCTTCCCACTCTCTGTCCATCCTGCTCCAGAAGTATAGGGAGAGGAAGGACACCAGTGGCCAGAACAGTGACCTGGCAGGTCCTTCACACAGTAAGCTGTGTGGCCTCTCTCCCCCAAGACTGGCTGGCTCCACCATCCTGGTCTGATGTGACAGGTGATGGGAAGGAAGCTGATTTAAAAACAGAAATAAAAGAACCCATGTAATAAGCTTTGGGGCCAAATATTGTTTAGTTTCTTTCACATATGGTTCTCTGCCCATATTCTTTCTGAACATGATTGTACATTGACTAATATATTTTCATCATGAAAAATATTCACATTATAGAATAATATTTGCCTGGAATTGGTGCTAGAGTGCAGTTGACCCAATAACAAAACAGTGCAGGGGTCGGGGCATCACCCCCACTCCGGGTCTGAAAGCCACATGCACCCTCACGCAGCCCCCGGCATGCTCCGAGCCTCGCACGGTAGAGCTTTGGGCTGCTCCCATCCCCCTGCCGAGACCTGAGTGGTGCAGGTTCTGCAGCTCAAACTCCCGTTGTCCAAAGACCAGCTATGTTTTATTAAACGAGGTTAAATCCATAAACCTCACTAACTTCAGCGTTTCATCAGTGAACTTTCATTAGATGACCGTGACAACAGGAAAAGTTAGTCTGGTTGACTTAGTCTTCATGATCGACCTTTATTTTCCTCCTTTCTTTCTCAACATCTTGGCTTTCTGCATTATTAGTTTGACATTACTGGAGTGCAGACATGAAATGCTGCTGTTGCCAGTTTATTTATGGTGACACAATGAAGTGCACTCCCTGTTCTCTGCTTGGCATAGCTCATTAGTCCACAGGTGCTTGCACGTTCCGTAAGTATCAGGTGTGAATACAGACGCTCAAGTCTCGTGTGGACTTTCTGTTGACTTGTTCTTAGTTCTTGAGAAAAGGGTGTTGAAACCTTCAGACATTATTATGGATTTTCTTTTATATGTTCAGTTTTGTTGGTTTTTGCTTCAGATATTTTTGAAGTTCTGTTGTTAGGTCCATATATATTGAGGATTGTTGTTTCTTAATGAATCTTAAACCATTATGAGATTTCCTTTTTTGGTGCCTGTAACATGCCTGGTCTCTAAGCGCTCTGTCTGATGCTAGTGTATGGACTGCGGGCTTCTGTGGTTCATGTTCGCCAGCACACCCTTCTGTCCCCTTCGACCTCTGAGGCGGCGTCAGTGGTGGGAGTGGCCTCCGTGGAGCAGCGTGTTGCCTGACAGGCTCTGTCTTCTAACTGGGCTGTTCCGTCACTGCCTTCGGTGTGATCACTAACGTGGTTGCCTGTGAGGCTTCCATGTCATTCTCTGCTTGGTTTTTCTTCTCCTTATTGTGTCCTCTCCTGACTTATTTTGAATCCATTGAATAATTTTTAGTGTTCTGTTTTACATTTTCTTGGGGACTGTTGTTTTTAGTAGTAGTCGCTACAGGGTTTGTGATATTCGTCCTTAAATTTTCACAGTCTGCCTTGGCGTAGTGCTGGCCTGTGTCACGTGTGAGGCGGAAGCCCCTGTCTCACTGGTGTTGCTTTATATCTTTGGTGTGTTTCTAAAACTCTTTTATTTTGCAATAATGACCCACTCTCAGGAGTTGCAAACATCGTACACTGACCTCCCTTCAGACTCTGCCCAGTTCCCAGCGATGGTGCTTGTGTGATAAAGTGCAGCGTGAGGCAGGACGTTGATGTCGGTGTGCTGTTTACTAGGCTGCAGACATTGTTCATTTTTTAAAATTTTTTAAAAATATTTTATTTATTTTTCAATAGAGGGGAAGGGAAGGAGAAAGAGTGGGAGAGAAATATCAATGTATGGTTGCCTCTCATGCGTCCCCTGATGGGAACTGGCCTGCAAGCCAGGCATGTGCCCTGACTGGGAATCGAACCGCGATACTCTGGTTCACAGGCCCGCGCTCAATCCACTGAGCTACCCCAGCCAGGGTTCATTGTTCATTTTTTTTTTAAGATTTTTTAAATTGTATTTTATTTTGTAGGTTCTTTTAGAGAGAGGGGAAGGGAGGAAGAAAGGAAAAGAAACATCAGTGTGAGAGAGAAACATCAGTTGGCTGCCTTCCAAAGGCACCCTGACCGGGGTCCGAACCCGCCACCCAGGCACATGCCCTGACCAGGAGTCCGACTGGTGACCTTAGCTCTGCGGGGCGATGCCACACCCACAGAGCTGCCCTGGCCAGGGTGGGTCTTACTGATTTCCTGCTGTTTTTCCTCCGTGTTGAGCTCTGGCATTGTCATCCCACATCAGGAGCCGGAGCCGGTCCCTCACCGCAGCGGAGCTCCCGTGGGCTGTCTCTCTGAGCCCTGCCTTCTGTCCCCATCCCCTGCCGACCATTTGTCTGACCTCCATCTCTATTTCGGTCATTCTGAAAGTGTTCACGTACATGGAGACATGTAGTATGTCACTTCATGAGATTGTGCATATATTTTAATCCCCCTACTACAGGGTCTTATTTTTGCTTTGAACTAGGGGTCAGCAGGCTTGTTCTGTGAGGGGCACGATATGAGTATTCCTGGCTTTGAGGCCCCCACATGCCTGTGACCGGCACCGAGCCCTGTGGTCCTATGTAGGGTCACGGACTGCAGCTGTGGCCATTGTCAGCGATGGCTTGTGCCTGGGCGCCAGTAAAGCTTCCTCTTCTTTTCCTGTGTCACAAAATCTGAATTTTATATAATCTTCCATTGTTGCAGAATATTCTCTTGGCGGTTTTCCAGTCATTTAAAACAATGTGAGAAGCATTACGAACTTTCAGACTGTATGGAAACCAACAGGCCAAGTTTGGCCCATAGGCTGTAGTTCCTCTCTTCCCTCAAACAGCCGTTTGTCCTTGAAGGAGTCAGCGCCGGGGGAAGGTCGTGTGTGTGCCCCGTGTCTGGTGGCCTCAGCGTCTTCGTGCAGATCAACGTTGCCTTTGACACCATCCCTCCTCCTCTGGAGGGCTTGCTTGTACATTTCACGTGCTGCTCATTTTGTTGCCTCGGGTTTTTTCTCTGAAAATATCTTTATTTCAGAAGAATAACTGTGCTAGGAACAGACTTTCAGGTATTTGTTGTTGGCACCTCCAACAAGCCATTGTGCTGCGCCTGCTCACGTCACCACCCGTGGGACAGCACGGTCCTCGTGATGCATCCCCCCTGTAGCGGGGGTGTCTCCCAGGCTGTTCTGCTGCAGCAGCAGGTTCACCCGGAGCTGTGGGTGGCTCCTCTGTTGTGGTTGGGATGCCTGAGCCTCTTGGATCTGCGCATTTACATTTTCTGTCAAATTTTGGAAAAATCGAGCGTTATTTGTTAGGTACTATTTTCTGTCTGCATCTTTCTCACCTGTCACTCTGGGCCTCTTGCTACTTTCCTGCATGGTTTACCGCTCAGTGTCCCTCAGGTGCCTTCCCAGCCCAGCCCTCACGCCTGTTTCTGTCTGTCGTTCAGCGGGGTCATCACTGCTGTTCTGAGGTCGAGTCTGGCAACCTCTCTACCACTGCTGGGCTGCTGGGCTGCTGCTGCCCACCCAGTGAAACTCATCTCAGATGCTTGGTTTTCAGTGGTTTTATTAAAGGCATGCAACTTTTTTATCCTCACCTGAGGATGTGTTTACTGGTTATAGGGAGAGAGGAAGAGTCGGGGGGTGGGGAGAGAGAAACATGGATGTGAGAGAGAAACGTTGATCACCTGCCTCCTGTACGAACCCCAACCCTGGAGCAAACCAGCCACCCAGGTTCTTGCCTCGGCTGGGAATCGGACCCCCACCGCTTGTTGCACAGGGACAGCGCTGCCACCAACCGCACCCCCCGGCCAGGGCTCAGCTGCATTTTCTGTCTTCCCTTGTCCCCTTCCCTGTCTTTGCTGTGTCCTCTAGACCCTAAACTCACACTGTCTTCTTCGAGTCCTTCCCTGCACATTCCATCGTCCCTGTCGTCTCTGAGCCTGGGTCTGCTTATTGACTTTTCCCCTTGTAACGGATCCATGTGTGTCTCCTGATTTTCACGTCCAGTATTTTGTAGTCATGCACTGGAAGGGTTTGAGTGCTCTGAAGAGTGTTGACTTTTGTTCACATCCGAATCTTCTAGGGCCCACCTAAGGCTTCTGAGGGTGGGTCAGTGGGGACATTCACTCTGAGGCTTCCCGAGTGTAAGGTGCTCACTGTGGTCTCTGCACGTGGGAGCCCTAGGCCACCTGTGGTCAGGGGGCAGGTCCCCCAGTGGAGGTCTGGCCTGGTGTCCCCAAGTCTCACCCTGACATGGAGAGTGCAGTCTCAACTCTGGCCCAAGGGCACAGCTCTGCAGACTTCCAAGCCCCACCGCACGTGCCTGCTCCCTGCCTTCTGCCCTGCAGGCCCAGCTGCCGCGACAGTCTTACCTCGGCCCCTGCCCTTGTCTCCTCCTCTGCCAGGGCTCTTTCTCCCAGGGCTGTGGTCTGCACCATGCCTCGGGGCAGAAAACCAGGGTGAGGCCACAGCGGTTTCACCTCGTCTAGGTCGAGAATCCATGGTGGTGGGAGGGGTGGTGAGCGTTCCCACGCCCCGCAGCCCCCCCCCCCCAGTCCCCCGGGGTTCCTTCCAGTTGCTGAGCTTTTCCTTTCTTGGTGGCTCTTTTCTCTTAAAGCGTTTTAGAATATTCTCTCCATCCTGTATGTCCACACACATCTCTCCAGTGTCTGTGTGTGGAAGGAACTGCAGAGAGATGGACATCTGCCCTCCTGGGGCGGCATTCTGTATTCCTTCATCTTCTAAGTCCCGGCTCGGTGTCCCAAATGACAGGGACATCTCCCCACTCTCAGATCCTCTGGAAAAGCTCCCCTCTCCCTTTGCTCCCTCCATCAACCTCTCCCCTCTGCTGTGTCCTCCCTGCTGATCTGATTCCTGCTGGCACCTAGCAGTGGTGACCACCCCCACCCCCAGCTGGCCTCACCGGCCTCAGCTGCCTTGCTTTGGAAACCGTGTTAGAAACACACCATTTGACATTTGTTTCTCTGGCTCAGGTTGTTCTTTTGATCTCTTCTGTGCGCCCTGAAGTCCTTGCAAGTAAGCGCCTCCAAGTTCCTCTCCTGCCCCTTGTCAGGAGCAGGTCCCTCTCTGAAATCACCACGTGCCTTCCAGTCTGAGGCCCCTGGTGGTGGGCACCTGCCTGGTGGGTGTCTGTCTGCCGCCCCTCCTCGAATCGGGCTGCTGCGAGCTGGCAGGTGCTGGTCAGAGGGGTGTTGCACTGCAGATCCATGACCAGGCATGTTTGCTGAGCCTGTGCTCTAAATGCCGCCTTTTCAAGAGTGTCTGCGTCGAGGGAGGCACCCACAGACAAGGGGAGCTCTGACGGCTGCACTGCGGGGCCGGCAGGAGTGGCAGCCGCTCGAATCCTCCGGGCCCAGCATGACTGGCAGGTGGGCGCTCGCTGCTGTCAAGTGGGATCTGGAATCGAGGGGCCTTGAGCTCCGAGGTGCAGACACTGTAAGCCACGTTCTTCGACCTGTACAGCCCTGCCCGCCATGGGTGTCTGCTGTAGCCTCAGGCACTGGGTAGGTACCTAGTACTTCAGAGCCCCTGTTATGGGGAAGGTGTAGGTGACCGACCTGCAGGCACCGAGTCCAGGCGAGGCCTGCTGCCCCAGTGGTTCTAGGGTTTGACTCAGACCACGCCTGCGGGTATTTTATGGTGGAATATGGGTGTTTGGACCTCAGGATGGCGTTGTGGACAAAAGTGGGGAGAAACCCGAACATCACTCAGCCCATCCCTGGCCTCACACCTCCTCTGACCTAATGGTCTTTGTTTAAGTCACTGGGAAGCCTTGCGAGAGTGAGGGGACGGGGGAACTCCTTCCCGCCTCCAAGGTCCACAGTGTTGGAGATGAGCTCTGTGCACACAGCTGCCTCTGGCAGTGGGGCTGGCCGTACGCTCCCGGCCACCCTCTCCTCAGCCAGCCAGTGGCCCAGGTACAGGGCAGGCTGCGGGTCTTGCAGTGGGGACTCAGCCCCACCAGCAAATGGTCAGTGTCGGGTCAGTGCGGCACCTTTGCAAAGCACCTACGGGCCGTTCACACATTAAAATCCTCAATACTGACTCAGAAGGGGACTTTTTTAAACAAGTATACACAGAAAAGAATGGGAAGTTTTTCTGTTCTTTAAAGAACTGTGAGCACACCACTGGCGGACTAAACAGCACCACAAAAACGTGACAGAACCAGCAGGACAAGTGCATTTTTTAAAAAGCCTGGAGGGTTGTTGCAAACTTGAACATCCTAGCAACTGAGAGGTCCAAGCCCATGTTGCTTCTCCTCTTCCCCTTCCCCTGCAGCTAACCCTAACCCCCCACCCCACACCCACGTGCCCACAGACCCAGGTCGTGAGCAGGGTCGGCACCCGAGAGCTGGTGGTCACCTGAGCTGGAATCACAGGAGCAGGTTTGGGCCCTTCTCCCACCTGCGTGGGCAGCACCCCAGCGTGTGGGAGCAGGACTGGCAGGGGCGCTCCTTGGGTTTCCACTTTGCTCTTCGAACGCAGAGCCCCACCAATCTGAAGCTGCTGGAAGAAAAGTCAACCTTTTCTTTTGGGAACTGCCTGACTGCATTTCCTCTTCCTCTTCTTCTTCCTCTTCCTCTTCCTCCTCTTCCTCCTCCTCTTCTTCTTCTTCTTCTTCTTTTTTTTTGGATATATAGGTGTTCAGATTATTTAATCTTAATTCAGACAAACCAAATTATTGCAAGCATTTCTGCGCTATTTCAGAGAGGACAGACTAAAGCCTGTGAACTGAAGCAGCACCCAGAGAACAGGCCGAACTCTAGGGTTTTCCAGGAAAACAGGTTGACTGCTATTTCAGGGGAGCTCAGATTGGGGCGCAGGGTGTGGCTGTCACTGTCCACAGGAGGGCACCTGGACTGAGAGTGGAAATGGGGCTGTCCAACTGTCCGCCAAGGTGAGGCTAGGACCCACGCCACCACTCCTGTGCTCTGTGCCGTCTTTCCTCCCTTTTGTGACAGGCGTGTTACAGGTCTGAGTCACCGGTCCCTGCTGCCCGGGCTCAGAGCCCTGGTGTTCCTGTCTGCCTCCGAGGCCTGGAGGGGAGGGCAAGATGCCGGGGTTGCCAGCTGGAGGGGTCCCAACGGTGCTGGGTCCATGCCATCAGCCTGGGGACAGGTGGCCCTCACTCGTACCTGCTGACTTGGCCTATCTCCGTGCAGGTGGTGCTGGCAGCTGCCCCCCTGTCCGGGAGTGGTTTGTCTACGCGGGGAACTCCCTGAGACACCCGGACCTGGTCAGGCCTCTGCAGATGAGCATCCCAGGTACTGACAGTCCTCGTGCGCACCGAGCGCAGTCACGGATGCACCGTGGAGGCAGGCTTCCCAGACCTGCACGTGCACTGGTGTCCGTGTCGGCCTGTTGCTCCTGGAGTTGGGAGACTGCAGGTAGGGGTGGGAGCCAGCCACTCAGCCCAGCTCCCCACAGTGGCCGGACCTGGCTCACACCCCAGGACAGCACCTGGGGTCACACTCCAAAAAGTGTTCTCAACAACACAGGGCACGGTGCAGGCAGGAAGAAAGCCCTTGCTCCCTGCAGGACACAGGAAGCAGAGTATTTTGGTGAAGGGTCTGAGGGTGCTGGCCCTCACACCGGAAGCTCCACTGGTGTTTTCCTCCTGTCCCTCTAAGCATTAAAGCCCAGCAAGGTCAGCAGGGGCAGAGGTTCGTGTCTTTTGTTCTGGAAGAAGAACATGACAACTTGCTGGTGCAAACAGTAATGCCAGTGGGCCTTGTGGGCTTTCCTCTTCAGGGGGCACACCTAGTCTGAAGCAGCTGTGGCTGAGCCAGGAGCCTGGGACCCAAGCGCGGCGCGTGGACGTGCTCCTCGCCTGCCTCGACCTCTCCTCCTCCAGGGAAGAGCTGCAAGCCTTGGAGAGCCCCTTCCGGATGCTGTGCTGCCTCCTCATCTACCTGTTCGTGCAGGTAACCGCGACCCCAGCTGCTGCTGCTCAGGGGCTCCTGCCTCCTGCCCTTGTCGTGCACAAGGTGCTGTACCGCCTCTGTCCAGCACCTGGCTGTGAGCACCAGCTCTCTGCAGAGCTTGTGAATTGAAGGACAGCTCTGTGTATCATGTGAGGGAGGCGCCATCTGCCACCGACTTTGGTGTGCAGTACACGTGAGGGGAGCGGGCCTGGCGGCTCTGCTTCCAAAGCTGTAGGACAACGGGTTCCCCTCCCAGCTGTCGTGTCACTGCCAGGTGGTGGTCTCGCTTCCTGGGATGTGGGGAGCAGGTGAGGGGTCTGGCACTGCCCTTGAGCAGAGGACTCCCCTTTGCTGAGCGATGTGCGTCCGTTCCTCTGACAGGTGTCTCCAGTCTGAGAACGGGCAGCGGCCACTCCCAGGGTTGATGGGCAGCCCCAGGGGAAGTGGGAGTGGTCTGCAGGGCGGACGTGGCCGTCGTGGTGAACGTCCTCCTCAGCGTCCTGCACTGGGGCGAGGCTGCTGCCTCAACCAGCCCCAGGCAAGGTGGTTTCTTTTTTACTCGTTTTACACTTAGTTTACATGTGGAGAGTATTGAAGCCAACGAGAAGATTGCCTTTGTAGAAGTTTGCGCGCACACTCACACACACCACACGCAACAAGGTTGGGACACCCAGTAGAAGAAGAGCTGAGAACCCTGGCGTCCCCAGCCTTTTCCCCGACCACCAACTTTAAAACGATGTCCCTCTCACTGTGGTCAGTGCCCAGTAGCATGAAGCCAGTGCAGACTCACACGCCTCCTCCACCCCTGGCTGTGCATCTTCTGCCCTGACCCTGGACCTGGGGGCGCGACCTTCCCTGTCTTCTGCCTGGAGGAGAAAGCTGTGGGGATCTGCCCTCGGACCTGAGCCCCTTTCCCAATAGCTGAGGTTACATTTCGGGGGCCTGGCGGTTCTCCCTCAGTGCCCTCTGGGCTGTGGACTGTCACTCTGGGGCTGTGTCACTCTGTCCCTGGTTACATGGGGCCAGTGTGAACTTGAGTCTTTGCATTTCTGTTTCAAGTAGAACACTTCTTTATTCGCACCACACTTAGCAAAGTCAAGTGCAAATTAATACAAGGTGGAAGGATTTGGTCATGTTTAAGTGTGAAAATACCTGTTTTTGATGCTGTGCATCATGTGTGTACTCTGTGTAAGCTAACGGTGCTGTGTGTGAACCTGCGGTGGCTCGGTCAGGCCAGTGTGGTGGCGACTGGGACCTGCCGCGGGGCTGGGGGCTGAACTCCCTCACCCAGAAACACAAGGGTTTCCTGCCAGTGCCGCGGGTACCGGTGGCAGCACTTGCAGGGCGTGCACTTGGACTTATCTTTCCAGCGGCAGAGGTTGCTGGCCAAGGCCTGCGGCAGGCACGCGGCCCGGCTCAGCCTGCACTGCCCGCTGTGCGGGGCCTGGTGTCCGAGTCCACTCCCAGCAGTGCCGGGCCCGGTGCAGAGAGGTGGCATTCCACTCACATGTGCGGTTCCAGGGCAGCAAGATGGGCGCCCGAGGAAGATTGCTGCTTGGACCTCTCTTCTTGACATAATTACCTTCGAAGTAAAAGTCTCTTCAGTGAACATCAGTGTGAGGTAGAACTGGTGTCAGTTTGACTTTAAAGGACATGTGCATGGGGACTTTAAACCTAAAAGCAACAAGGAGCTCAGCAGTGGTGTCTTTTACCAGGAAGGTTCTGGCTGTGTCCATGGTGGTCACTGCCTTGGGGTCCATGAAGCTGTGGGGGGCACTTGGGAGCGATGGCCCGTGTGCTGCTGCGCTTGTGGTGTGGTTCCGTGTTTGACGTGGGACGAAAGCATGTCCCATTTGGGCGCAGACATGCCCAGAAACTCGCCCCGCATCTGTGAGGGACTGGAAGGGCCGGTCCCCATCACTGAAAGGGCACGTTTCACCTAATTCACAGCAGAGCAGGTATTTAAAAAGCAATGCCTATTGTGTGGAATTCTAAAAAACTGGCGTGGCAAAGAGTCTGGCATTCGAGATTTGTGAGCAGCAAAGTTGGTGGCCAGAAGCCCACAAACTGCAACAAACCCAGACAAAACACGGTGGCTCTGCCCCACGGGTCCATGTTTTGAAGCCAGTCTTCCTCAGAGCCACCGGTGGCAGGAAGTGACTAGCAGGTCAGCAACCCTCAGTCGAAATGCAGAGGTGGGGTGTGTGCATTTAGCAAAAGACCTTCTCTGCTTGAACCCGCCTCTGCAGAGTGGGCTCTGGGTCGTGGCCCTGAGGCTGAACAGCTGCAGGTGGCGGTTTTCCCCGAAACAACTGTACCTGTTGTTCTTGCAGAGAGAGCAACTACCTGGGAATAAAAAGGGACAAGGATGGTGGTGGGGTAGGTCAGAACCGTCAGAGCTGAGACACATTGTGTCCCCGAGCCTGTCCCCACCACTGGATGTGTTTCCCTACAAGGAGACACTGCAGGTCCCCCTGAGGACAGGAAGATCAGTGGCCACGTGGCCACGTTGCCATCTGGGGCCCTGCAAGGAGGAGGCCTGAGGCCTGTGTCCACCCTGCTTATTGGCTGTGATGCCCTGGCTCCTGGGTCCCCTCCTCATCTCCCGTCCCGTCTCCACGTCTCTGCCACACCCTGGTTAGACCTTTTCCACCGAGGATTTGCGGGGACCCCTATTTTGGGGACCCTGGTTTTCTTCGTGTTGGGATGTGCAGGTACAAGTCCCACGGGGGCTGTGGAGGCTGGGTGCTGCTTGCAGCCCCAGGTCTCCACTGTGGGTGCTTTGCCTGCACACCTCTGGGTTGTCAGCTTCTGAGGTTTGTGCCGAAAATAACCACTGTTCTCTAAGACTGTAGTTCTTCCCAGCATTCTAGAACTGTCTGCCCTGCTGGAAAGTAAGCAGTCTCTGACCTCCCGCGTCATCTCCTCTGCTGCTGGAGACGCACCCTGCGCACCTGTCTTCAGTGGTTGCGACCCGTGGCCGCGAGGCTAAGGCCAGCTCTCCCTCTCCCTGCAGGTAGACACGCTGTGCCTGGAGGACCTGCACGCTTTCATTGCTCAGGCCTTGTGCCTCCAAGGAAAGTCGGCTGGGCAGCTCGCAGACTTGCAGGTACGGACGCAATCCATTGACCTGGTTCTAGGGACCACGAGCCCGTGCTCTGCCGGCCCTGGTTCTGTCCCGGGTTGTTCTCTTCGTGGCATGGTGGGAGGGCTTCACTCTCAGGCAGTAGGGCCGGGTCCTGCGGGGCCAGCAGCCCTGTGGAGGAGGAGCCCCACACGGTGCAGCAGCCATGCTGAAGCTGGACTTGGGTGGGAGGGTCCAGGGTGGTGGCTTATTTACTACATGTCCTTAGGTCACATGTCAAGGTCATACAGACCCCAGCTGCTGCGTGGGCCTCACTGGGGGTGACGGCGTGTCTGTGGAACAGGAGGCTGGGGACAACCCAGCCAAGGGTCCCTGGGCATTGGAGCCATGCTAGGAAGCCAGGGCTCCGAGTTCCACTGCGTGTTCTCATCGCTTTGTGTCATCTCCAAGTGGCCAGGCACCGCTGACAGGACGCATGAATGAGCGCCCTGCGTGACGGCAAACCTAGGGACCTTCCGTCTGCACATCATCACACCCTGCTGCTCTTGCAGCAAATGCTCACTCCCATCGGACATGCTGAGGCCTGTGGGTAAACTCAGAACACTTTGAGAACATACTGAGTCACGTTTTTCCATACAGCAGAAGCCCTCAGAATGGTACTTACTGAGTCACTAAAGTAGCCACAGAAACACGGGGCTAATAAGTACCTAGCTATTCAAAGAGAAGCCGCTCCTCGTTAGGCTGAAAGTTGACGAGTGGATGTACAGCCGGAACAGAATCTGGTGGGAGTTTCCCCTGACTTTTTAAATGGACACATGAGCACAGAGGTGACTGACCCCCAGCAGAAAGTGAGACGGATGGCGGAGCAGAGGGGAGGAGCCTGCTTCCCCCAGTCCTCCCAGCTCTTCGCCCAGGAGCACTGACTGGCGCTCAGGCATTCGTGGGTGGAGCCTAGGGGTGGGACCAGGAGGAAGCCAGCGAGGAGCCCTGAGCGAGGAGCCCTGCGGTCCCCAAGACCGCCCAGGCTGCGTGCTGGATGGGCTTGTGGGGGTGGGCGTGTGAGCTCCTCGGGTGAGCAGAGGTGGGGATGGGGACCGGCCCGCTGCCTGCTCCCTCCCTGCTGCCAGGTGCCCGCCTCACTGCAGTCCTCACCTGCTTCCCACCTCCAGCCTCCATCTTGGTGCGGAGTGCGTCCGGGCCTGGAGACCCTGGAGGAGGAGATGCTCGCAGGAGGTGGGGAGCAGGCAGGTGCCACGGCTGCCCTCAGCTGTTCGGGGAGGACTGGCTGGTCTCGGGCAGTAGGGGACCCCTTGTGGGAAGTTCTCAGGAGAGATCACAGGCTGCCCACCTCCCCATCCCCGCAGTCCAGAGCCATTGGCTTTCCCCAGGCAGGTGCCGCAAGGGCGGCGGACAGATGGGTTTGCAGAGAGCAGGGGCACACCCACGCACAGCCACACGCACCAAGTAGGCTCAGGGCGAGGGCAGCTGAGGCCTGCCTGCCAGGCTCGCGCATGGCATGTCCTCTGCACGCCTTCGGGTCACGGCGGCAAACGAGGGGCTGCGTAGAGACTGCAGCCCATGGAGCCAGGAGGGCAGCCTGCTATCCTGGACATGTGTCCCAGGCCGCTGGTGCAATGTGGGTGCCGGTCAGTCTGTACGGCTACTGAGCGTCAGAACCCACAGCCGTTTCTCCACTCGGGTTTAGTCTCTCCGCCGCTTCTGTGCTGACACAGCCTGTTGTTCCTGGTTCATGCGCGGATGCGCCCCTGTGCTCCAGGGCACAAACACACCACCCGGACGTGAGACTGTGCTCCATCTCTGGTCTCCCATTCGCTGGGAGAGGCAGATGCTCATGCTCAGACTCTCACTTTTTCAAGCGGCCCAGCCTTGCAGGCCCTCAGCAGTCTGCCGGGCTGCTGCCGTGAGCCCAGGGAGTCACCCTGAGTCCACGTGGGAAGTCCAGTGACGGGACATCCTAGGGACATGTCGATGCTTAGCAGACTCTGACCTGGAGAGGAGCCAGGGTGACAGCGGTGACACCCGTGGGCACAGGCCCACCCTGCGAACAAGACGGCTGGACCTAGTGCCTCTGCACCAGGCTGTACTCTCTCCGCTGCCCGGGGGTCTTCCCGTGAACTGTCCGAGAACGGGCAGAAGGCTTTTTTCTGGGTGTCATCTGTGGTCATCTGTTCTGAACCTCAGCTGTAGGTCAGGATCAGATTGGAAGTGACAGGTGTTCGGGGTGCCTCCTCGGGGCCCCGTGGGGCCATGGCAGCAGGCAGGCAGCCCACTGGAGACACTGAGGCCTGCCACACGGGGCCCTGAGACAGCATTGTGACTCTGGCCATGTGGAGACCATGTTGGTTTGCAGGGGCACTCGACGTGGGTGTGCCTCTTTGCACTGGGTGCTGCGGGTACTTGGGGGGCGACACCAGGGCCTGGAGTGGCCCAGGTCCTGTGCACGGGGCCCTGCTGAGCTGTGGGCCATCCTGGCCAGTTTCTCATTTTGTTTCACTCTCGGCCTCTTTTGTTCTCTGCGAGCAGCCCTTTGACTGTAGGGCGGCATCCCCACTTAGTCCGCCGTTCCTGGACTGGGGGTGGGGATACAGGGGTGCAGGTACGAGTGTCCTAGGACGAAGCTCGTTTGCTGCAGGGAGGCCCATGGGCCACCTGCTGTGCCCGCATGGCCCTTCGGGCGTCACCCGAGCAGCCTCTGCTGCCCCTCAGGGCTCTGGTGGGCCCCTCAACCCCACCCCGCCATGAGAAAGAAGGTCCCGAGATGCAGGCTTGCTGGGTCCCCTGTTAAGTCCCAGCCCGTGGTGCGAAGGAGACGAGATGTCGCTGCACATGATGTGTTTTGGTTTTATGAACTGTATGAGATACTCCATGACACTTTGAGTAGCTGCTGACCAGTGGGAGTAACAGTCTCCATGGGCCACACCTGGCAGGCGGGCGCCACAGGGCGTGAGGGGCGGTGTGCAGTCCACAGTGACTGGAGGGAAAGGGTGTCGCCAGGCAGGGCCAATGTTGCACGTTAGGGCAGCTTCTCCATCTCAGAGCAGGAGGACTTTCACGTTGGGTCAATCCGACGACATACAGAAATGTTGTACATTGGAATGGCTGTCTTGATATCTGAACATCATTAGCCTCTTAACTCCATAAGGTAAGCCATTGCACTCTTAAACGACAAGCGTCCATTTCGGTTGTATTTTTAGTAACTGGAACAGCTCACTGGGGTTCCTTACAGCACAGCAAGCCAGTCAGCGCTGCAACTGCTGCTCTCTCAGTGCCCTTTCACCGGGAGCTTTGGGAACAGCACACGCCGCAGAGACCCAGAGGGCCCAGCCTGGTGGGGGCCGGGCCACCCTGGCGTGCAGTGCCCGGGGAGGCCCCGCATGGAACCACACGTCGCCTCTGTCCCTGCAGCGGCTGCGGTGTGTCCGCTCTAGGCGGAGGCGGCTGGCACAGAGCACAGGGCTCTGGTCCCCGTGGTGTGGGCTCCTCCTGACCGCTGTGTGTCTGGTCTCCGCAGCTTGATTATGTCGACCCCCGAGCCGTGCAGCTGGGCTCCCTGCTGGTCCGCGGCCTGACCACACTGGTGCTGGTCAACAGTGCCTGCGGCTTCCCCTGGAGGACAAGCGAGCTCATGCCCTGGAACGTGTTTGATGGGAAGCTGTTTCACGAGAAGTACCTGCAGTCTGGAAAAGGTTTCTCCGTGGAGGCCCTGGTGGAGCAGAACGTGAGTTCTCAGCTGCTTCGAGTCCCGAGTGAGGGGCGGGCTTGCAGCAGTGGCTCAGAGGCACTGTGGAGGCTCAGGGTTTTTGGCAGAAAGTCAGATGGGCCAGAAGTGCTGTGTCCTCATGGTCACTTTGCTGTAGAAAACAGTTCAGACGGCGCTGAGCCTGCTGTTCACATTCCGAAAGGACTGTTACTCGAGAAGCCTGAAGCCCAGGGTCATGGCCCCAGGCTGCAGGGTCAGCGTGTCTTCCGGCCTCGGCCACAACACCTCCCCAGACTCCAGACCCCAGGCTTCTGTCCGGGCGGGGGGACGGGCACGGCAGCGCCCCATGGAGTCCGACACGTTGCTGTCCCAGCTCCCTCCCTCCCTCCCTCCCTCCCTCCCTCCCACTTCAGCACTGATTGCAGATGCTTCCTGCCCAGGTGCCTCTGTAGACGTCGGACCTGTTTCAGTGGGAACATCCATGGCTCCTTAGTTGAAAATGTCCCCTGAAGGCTGGCCATTTGGTTAGGGACGTGGGTGGCTACCCAGCTTCCTCAGCACAGTGCCTGTGGGGTCCCCGGGAGGCACCCAAGCGAGATCTCGGCCACACGCACGGTCGTGTCACCCAGACGTGAGCAGCAGGCATGCAGCCAGCTGGGGAGACGTGCTCTGAGCTCCCCAGGTCAGAGGGGATGATGGGTGTCTGTGGCCACTGTCATTTCTCAGCGTCTGACCTGGTCTGTTTGCAGAGGTCTCGGCTCACCAGGTTCCACCAGCTGAAGTCCGCCGTGTGCAAGGCCTGCCTGGGGGAGGGCCGGCACATTGTCAGCCAGCAGCTCTGGAGGCCCCACCACGCAGGTGGGCAGCAGGGCACGGGGGTGGGGCCGGGAGGCCAGGGCAGAGGGGAGACACTGTGGAGATGCCCCGCCACTGCCCGGTAGTAACTCATGACCGCGAGCTGCTCGGGGGCAGAGCCCCTCCGGTCTCTGAAGCACAGACACTGCCGGGCAACGCGTGCTTGCCACACGTTTGGGCTCACTTTTCCTCATAGTGAGTGTGTGTTCACACAGCATGGATGCAGAGAAAATAACGAAAGAGGAAACATAAATAGCCTTTAATTCTGTACCGTGAGATAGCCGTGGACAGATAAGGCATTTTGCAGGGTTTTCTGTCTCTGGTCCCACTGTTGCTGCTCCTTGTGTGGCTCTGGGTTGCACTTAAGTGACAGCCCACTCGGGGCCACAGAACAAAGCTCCCACGTGCTGGCTCCAGAAACTTCAGGGTCCCCACCGCGAGCTCCAGGTGGCCCTCTCTCTTCTCAGTGCACACACAGCTTCCACGTGCCTCCTTTCCTTAAAACAGACCGTGACCCAGGGTGGGGTGCGTGCTGCCAGCTTGCTTTCTGACAAGCTCTGGTCACGTCATGTGCCCCCGGCTGTGATGCAGAGTCTGGGACCGCACCGAGACGTTGGTTTTCGATGGATGTGATGGGCCTGAGAGTCCATTTGCTCCTTTGACTGCTCCTGCGTGTACCAGTGGGACTGTGGGCAATCAGCTTTCTTGTCGATGAGCTTGTTTCAGTTACCGTTTCACGGCCTCAGTGCTTAGGCCCCACGTCTGCAGCTGCGCAGCCCTGTTTTCTTTCTTGGCGGAGTGAGCTCACCGCACCCTCTTACTGCCGGGCTGTCCTCAGAGTTCTGCTTGGTGCCAGCCCGGAAACAGGGCTCTGGGAGCCTTTGTGTGGCAAGGGCACGACACCACCTGGGACACATCCAGGTCCTACCAGGTGTCACACACCTGCACTCCTGCCCTCGGTACACCCACATACCTGCATACATTCACCCTGCACACCTGCACTCTGCACCCTGCACAGCTGCACCCAGCAGGCCAGGCCTTGCCATCTTCTCCTCCTCATGGGAACTGAGCCCCACGTGCCTATGGCCTGTCTACCACGCACCGCAGGCAGCTCCCTGTCCACGGCCCCGTATTAGTGCACAAGCCGCCAGGGGAAACCTCCCTGTGTGTGTCGAGCCTGGCGCTCTGCAGCGCGCACCTCCTCTCTTTGCGGGTCACGGTGAGACATAAAGATCCTGGAAAAGACACGCATCGGTAGGACACAGACCTCCCCTGTGAGATTCTAGCAGAGACACGTCATGGGGATGTCAGGGTGTAAGTGCTGAGGGGAAGTTTTCAAAGGGAAAAGTACGTTGAGGCACATTTGTGTAGAATCAGGTCTGGCGCTCAGAGTCCTGCCCGCTGTCAGGTGTACTGGTCAGAAGGCCTGTCCCAGGGGGCAAGCCCACCAAGACTGACCACAGGGCCCTGCTTTGAAGGGACCTGCCAGGATGCCCCGTGTCCTCAGTCTGCCCGTTACAGCACCAGGACACATGTTCACACACAGGCCTCTGTGCCCCACCGCCCAGCGCTGGCCCTAAGGCTCCCATGTGTGCATCATTGTGGGCTTTCCCTTTGGTGTCAAAGACACCAGGACTCTGGAACTGCCAGCCCTTGTGACAGTCTCACACATGGCATGTAACTTGGGGTTAGGCGTCGGTGGCTTGCTGACATGTTGATTTTGTTGTCTCCACAGGGAGATGGGGAAGACAGGGACCCAGCTCCCACAGGATGAGCTCCGGGCATAGCCGGTCCAGCCAAGGACAGCACTGGAGAGACCAGGGCTCAGGTAAGAGGGCGCTGCCCACGAGTGTCATCACCGCGGCAGCTCTGCTGGCCTCTGCAGCACGCGGTGTGTCTGCATGTGAACGACCCGCCAGCGCACCGAGGTCTGGCCAGCGAGGCAGAACCCAGCTGTCTCCCTGCTCCTCGCTGCTGTGCACTGACAGTCACCCATCTGTTCAAAGCCCACGGCCCTCGTAAGGGCCACCTGCTCCCTCTCACAGAACCACAGCCCGAGAAGCGGTGTCCTTGTAGGAAGGAGTGCGGTGGAGCTTCCCTTGACCTGGTCCTGGGCAGAGTGCCTTCCAGGAAGGGACACGGCCCGGCCCTCGTCTCTTGTGTGCACAGGCGCCTGGCCTCACTCCTTGAAGGTGCAGTCCGTGCACCTTGGAGGGCCAAGTTGTGTAGGCTTTTCAGAGATCTGACAGTTCTCGTTTTACCCTTCCAAGTGTGAAAACACTTGATGTGATTCATCATTTCATTCACTTTTGCAAACCCTACAAGCCGAGGGTCTCACAGAAGTCACAGTGACTCACGGGCGCTTCTGGTTTTGCGTCTGAGCAGCATCGCAGCTCCAGCTGCTCCCCCAGTCCAGGTGTAGGGGACATTTACAGGTACCAGGGGTGGGTCTGGCCACTTCCTCTTGCCACAGAATCAGCCATGTAGCTGATGTTGGGAGTCCACCATGTGGCTTGGTGTAGACCGGAGTTCAATGAATATTTTTGAAATACCTACCGGCTGTTCCCAGTGCAACAGGGAGCTCCCAGAGGGTCTCGCTAATGGTGTCCAGTGCCGCCCACCCTCTCAAAAGCCCCATGCATGGCCAACAGGAGGTGGCTTCCACCTTGCCCCGAGTCATCGTACTCCCACACTCCAGCACAGAGCGGCGATAAGAGCCTGCACCCTCTTCCGCTGCTTCCTGCACGCTCTCAGCGAGGAGGTGAGCAGTGCACTCTCCCGGTGCCATCACTGCTGCGCGCATTGGGGAGCGGACGTCTGTCTGTCCCATGGGGGTCGTTCGTCATCACTGTGCGGCCCTGGAAGCACCTGCCCTCTGGGGTCTAGTGGTGTATCTGCAGGCCTGGCCACGCAGCTGTCGGTGGAATTGCTTGGGGACAGTGCTGGATTTCTAACTCTGAGGGTGACACACCTCCCCCAGGTGAACCAGGGTGCAGGTGTTTCTGGGAGAAAGGAGAACCTGGCTGCGTGTGGTGGCAACAGGGACCTTGGCTTGGACTTGTCCACATTCCGTCCCAGTGCCCCTTGCCACTTCCTCCACACCCCAGTCTCCACGCAGCCTGCGCCGGGCGGCATGCGCACATCCAAGGGCCCAGCACACTCCTGTACAGAGCACACCAGGGACACGCCACCCCCACGTTCCTCACGTGTCCCTCGCATCCGGTCGGGGAGATGTGGGTGCCAGGTCTGCAGGGGTCCTGGCCTCCTCGGAGCGGCTCACAGAAGTGCCGGCAGCTCCCACGGGTTTTCCGACTTCAGATGCTCTGTGTGTGGACACCAGCCTTGTATTACAAATGGAACGGTTTTTCAGGTCAAATTAGCCACTTTTTCCATTACTGCAGTTGAATTATGTCATCTTTATTGGGCCAACGTATTTTTTGCTGGGTTTTGTCTACCTTTGAATGCCCATTTTAGTATTTTGGGAGATAGTAAAGTATTCTAATAAAAAGTCACTATTTTCAGGACAGAGGTAGCGAGCAAAATTCCCTGTTTGTGAACCACTGGAAGTGCCTCAGAATGTTCGCTCCACCCCTGCCCCCGGGCTGTGCGACCCAGGGCCCACCCTCCTTCCTGGGAAGCAATGGTCTGGGACTGGAGGGGAGGGGCGGGCATCAAAGCTCCCCCAGCTCTGAGTTGCCCTGCAGCTGGAGTGAGGGCACTGGGAAGATGAGGTGGGAAATTCCACAGTCAGCAGCCACCAATTGGCCTGTGATTTCTTCAGGTTTTGCTTCTGGGGCGATGCTGGGGTCAGCGGGGCTGTTGTAAAACTGCCCCTGATCACCTGTGATAACAAGTAGGGCCTGGGAGAGGTGTGAGCAACAGGGACCCACAGCCCAGAGGGGGGGCGGCTCCCCCCGGCAGAAGCAGACGGATTATTCTGTGGGGACAGTGTTACGGTTGGACACAGAGACTGACCACTTCTTCCACTTGCAAGGCAGCCCTGTCCAGGGGAGGCAGAGGGCAGCCAGCTGCACTGGGCTGCAGGGAACCCCGGGCCCAGCTGCAGAAGGAGCCCTGTGCTGCTTTTCCCATACTTGGCACAATGTCCCCCGTGGGCCATCTGCCTGTGAGCCTCCGTTCCCAAGTGTCCTTGGCAGACAGCGGGGCTAGAGGCAGGAGCAGTTCTCACTCGGCTCCTTCCACTCCCAGTCCAACTCCCGATTAATTGCTTCCTGCCGCACTGGAACAATTGTGGGACGGAGTCCAGTGCCAGGCGGCCGTGGGGTGGGGGAGGCTGGACCCGGCACACAGCTTGGCAGGTCGTCTGTGCAGCCAGAGAGGTGCGCTGTCTGCTGCAGAGTTGTGGCCGATTTCATCCTTAGCTTTGGTTTTCCTGTCTGTCTGGTGCAGGAAGCAGACACCACGAGACTGACCCCTGGAGAAGACACACACCGTCCTCTGGGTAAGTCTTCAGAGGGAGGCAGCTCACCCGCAGCAGGAGTGGCGCCTGCACGACACACACTCCATATCCAGTGCCAAAACGGACAGGGGTTCCGCTGTGAGGTCCGACTGACACGCACCCAAGTTCGCTTGGTTTGGGGAAGACTCTGCTTTCTACAGAAAAAGTGTAGAGGAGACAGATGAGTCTGGCCTTGGGACCCCGTGTCTCCCTCCGTCAGTGGCACAACAGGCACCTGCCAGCTCCTTGGAAGGGGAGGCAGCCTTGGGACTTGGACCAGCTTTCCATAGAAGGAAGAGCATCCTTTCCAGTGACTTCTCCCTCATGCCCTATTTTAAAAGCTTTTGTCGACTTATTTTTGGACGTTGTGCCTGACCCTGTGGTTGCCAACAGTCAACCACTAGCATTTTCCTCCCAGCCTTACCGCCCCCCGTCCCTTGTCCCCCCCCAACACTTAAAACACTTCCAACAAAGGCAGGTTTGGGGTGGTTTTTTTGTCCAAGAATCTCCAGGTAACCCAAGAATTGAAATTGTGAGCTCAGTAACCTTCGGAGTATTGATAAGGATCAGAAGCTGAAAGTCAGGCCTTTCCTCGAAGCCGTCACCCCCAAGTCTGGGGGGCGGGTGGGGACTGCCCAGCGTCCTCGGGGTCAGACGCCCTGCCTGCACCCCCAGCTCTCAGAGGTGCCCGTGCAGGGCAGCCCTCCTTCAAACAAAACGGCCCTAAGTGCATCCTCCGTCCGCGAGTGCGCTTGGTGAGTGTGCTGGCCCAGTCGGTGCTGCCCAGAGAGGGGCCGGTACCACACGTCCCCCACATGCCCACTCACCCGCGTGTCCTCCGAGTGCGCAGCCTCACACTCTCCAGGCTCCTCCTGCTGGGCGCCACAGACTCAGCTGCTGTTCACACTCGTCTTGTAGGGCCTGCAGCCTCGCTTCCCAGCTCTGGAAAGACTTTTCATTCCTCTTAGGGTTCTTGTTTTCTCTCAAAACCCTGAAATTCTGTTCCTTTCATTTCTGCTGATTTTAAATCACCGCTACATCTAAAAGTTTCATTTCTTTGCTGCTGCTTTGCACAACTTTTAAGTAAGAGTCTCCTCCCTTAGACTACCCGGCGACCCCCATGATAACCATTTCCCGTCGTGACATCCCGGTTCCAGCTGGTTGGTGGACCTTTGTGTTCAGGACGCTCTCCTGTGCTGCTCAGTGGGCACCACTTTTCCACGTTGGAGAGACCAGTGGGGTGCGCTGTCTGGAATCGTGTTTTATGAATCATCTCTGCAGTCGAGTCTTCTGATGGAAGGTCCCTGTAAAAATCAGTTTTTAAGTGAAAATAAAACAGTGTCTTTACCACTCAAAATTAAACATAACTTCACAGTTCTTTGATCACTTAGACAGCACATCACCCCCCAGTATGCTGGGATCTTTGTGAAGAAAACCGTGTGGAGTGTGGTCCCCTGTGTTGCCCACACCTGCTGCGATGCTCACGTGATGTCACTCCTCCGTTCTGGTGGCAGCTCGTGCCCTGGGTTTGCTGAGCTCTCCTGCATCCAGGGCGTGAGCACCAGTGACCGTGGCGTGTGACCCTCTCCTGGGCTGTGGGGTTTGTGTGTGAGGGCTGTTTGTCGGGGTCTTGGCCTGCACCGTCCTTTCCTTTCAGAGTCCTTGTCTGGCTCAGGTATCGGGGTGATGCTGGCCTTGTGGCAGGAGTTTGGAAGCGTCCTTCTCCTTGAGTTTTTTGGACTACTTCAAGGTTTGGCGTGACATTTTTTTTAATGTTTGGTAGAATCTGGTCCTGAGCTTTTGTTTTCTGGGAGGTTTTTGATCACTGGTCAAGCTCCTGTCTCACAGACTGGTCTGTTCAGACTTTGTTTCTTTGTGACTCAGTCTTGAAAGGTTGTATGTTTCTAGGGACACGCCCGTGTCTTCCAGGTGCCCGGTGGCTGGTGTGTGACTGTTCCCTCAGGATCCTTTGTATTTCTGCTACTCGCTGTGATGCCCCCTTTTCTGTTCGTAATTTTATTTATTTGAGTCATCTCTCTTCTTCTCTTGGTTAGTTTGTCAATTTTGCATATCTTTTCAAAAGACTAACTTAGTTTTCTTGATCTTTTTTTATTGTCCTTGTCTGTGTATTACTAATTCCTGCTCTCACCTTTATTATTTCCTTCGTTCTGCTGTCTTTGGGCTTCGCCTGTTCTTTCTCTAGGTCTTTGAGGGGCAGAGTTAGGTTGTGCGTTTGAGATCATCCTTTTCTTTGAATGTAGGTGCTTACCGCTACAGACGTCCCTCTTAGAACTGCCTCCTGTGGGGTTTTGTGTGTTGTGTGTCCATTTCTCTTTGTCTAGACATACTTTCTAATTTCCTTTTTATTTCTTCCTTGACCCATTAGTTCTTTAAGATCATGTTGTTTTATCCCCACAGATTTGTGAGGTCTCCAGTTCTCCTCTAGTTTCATAGCTCTGTCACCAGAAAATACGCTTGACATGACTTAAGCCTTATTAACTCTTCCAGGCTCCTGTGCTGCCCCACACGCGCCCTGTCTTGGGGCACCGTGTGTGCTCGGGAAGATGTGTGTCCTGCCACCTGCTGGGCAACACGGCTGCAGCACAGCCCCCTCTGAGGCGTCCACCCTGTCGCTTGGACAGTTGTCACTTGCCCCTCGCGGAGCCCTCTGAGGCCTGCGTGGATCTTCAGCACTCACACTTCTTTGCTTTCATCACAGAAAACTCTTTCGGGGCCAGAGTCCCCAGCCAGAGTAGCATTCCAGTGCAGGAGGAAAAGGTCACACGTTTTCAGGAGTCAGGAAACTTCGGCCTGCAGACCCTTCCAGAAGAAAACACTCCAGCAGGATGGGCCTGCCATCGCAGCAGAACGCACAGCCTCACTGACGTCCCAAAGGGGGAAGGGAGGGTAAAGAGTGTTTTAAGAAATAATGGCTGACAAGTTTCCCAAATTTGATTAAAGACATGAACCTACAGATCCAGGAAGCTCAACCAGCTCCAGCTACGATGAGCTCAGCCCACAGGACACACTGCAACCCAGTCCTCGGGGACTGGAGACTGAGATGGGGTCTTCAGGACGCTCAAGGGAAGTGGCTCCTTAAAGGCAGAGCCCCTTGAGGCCTTTTAGCTGCTTATGTGTCAGAAACCCTTGTTCAGCGACATCTGCAGACTGAGTCTGGGCTCTGACATGCGGGGGGGGGGGGAGCCCGTGTGGGTGGACGCTGCCATCCCAGGGGGCTGCCAAGCCAGAGTTTCAGGAGAGGCCCCGCGGGAGAGCCTGGCGCCCTGCAAGGCGCACGTCTGCCCAGGGAGGTGGCTCGGAGCTCACGCACAGCATCCCGGCCTGGGAGGCTTCCGCAGCAGTTCCCTTTCTCCCTCCTCTGCTCTGCTGTGTGTCTGGGCGTCAGACACTCCCGCCCTCTGGCGTTCCGCTCCACTTTGCGCGAAGTGTCCTCCATCTTCTCTGTCCGTCCTTTAGTTCTGTTTCACGTTCCGAGCACCTGGGAGGTTTGTGTTTACAGCGCAGTCGTCTGGTTCTGTCGTGCACTTTCTCCAGGTGCAGAGGCTAATTCCACAGGTAGCATCTGGGCTCCCGCCTTTGTAGACAGTTCCTCCCGGTTTCTCTTTCTCTGTGTGTGTGTGTCTTCTGGTCTGTGTTTCTACTTTCTCAAGTGCCTGGTGACTCTGAGTGTCTTCTCATTTCAAAGAGGCCTCAAAAGGGTGGCTGAGCATGTGGCCCGGTGGGCGTGGAGCCAGGTCCCTGGGGAGTCGTGGCACTGAACCCTGTCCTCCACCCCAGGGGCCGGTGTCCCAGAGAAGCGTCCACATGGAGGGGTGCAGCCCCATGGGACCACGGGAGGCTGGAGAAGAGCCCGGGATGAGCCCCAGCTTCTAACGGGCGTCGCTGAGGTTCCCGCCTCTGGGCGTTCCCGTCGGCTGGGGAGGGAAACACGGGGAAGAAGAGGAAGTGGAGATGGGCCGCCGCCTTTGGGCATTTTGTGACTGACACCCACCTCATGCCTTCACGCACACTCCCAGCCCTGGTGGGACCCCATCGGTCGGAGCCGTGGCCGACAGGCCCCTCGAGTCCTTAACAGGCAGCAGGAGCGGGAGGCCCTGACGGGTCCAGGCTGGTCAGAGGTATCGGGCCGACTCACCGCCCGTTGCTTGTGTTCTAGGTGGTCCAACTGACGCCTCTGCCGCGCCCTCTCACGGCTGGGAGAGCATTCCTTTGATCTGGAACACGGATGTGAAGTCGGCATGTCTCGCTCCTGTGCTGGCACTGATGTGATGACGCACCGTGTCCCCGTCATCGGCACAGCACAGCCATGACGGAAGCTGCACAGCTTGTGTCCCCTCCTTCCCACGGCAGCAGCCGGAGCGGGCGGGCCCTCGTGAGAATGCGCTGCCGTCGCCCCAGCATCCCTGTGGCCGTCGCCCCAGCACCCCTCAGAGGGCCCACCTTTGGTTAGGGGGTTGTAAGTGTGGAGACCCCACAGGGTGGGCCTCAGGGAGGCAGGAAGTCACCCTCCTGCACCAGGTGGGGGCGTCCGACATGACGGGAGTGCCCCCTTGAGAGCTGCCCTTGAACCTGTCCCACCTGGACTGTCACAGCCCCTGCTTCCTCCCAGTGGCCGCCCAGGCTGCAGCCCCAGGCGCTCTTGTCAAGGTTTCTGGTGCAGACACAGCTTTGGATGGCCGGCTTCCTCCTCTAAATTGTCAGAAGTGCCGCTGGGTCTGGAGGTCTGGGTCTCCCTCCCGCTGGTCCATGGGGACGGCAGGCCTGCAGTTGCCTCTCTGCCTGCGGGTGCGCAGCCCACCACCTCCGGGTGGCGAGGCGCCTGGGCAGGCGCCCTGCTCTGTTCTGCACGGACTGGGTGTGGTGCCCCCTCCGAGTAGAGGTGGTGGTCTGAGTGCCTGTTTGTGACATGTCACCGAATATAAACACTTTGTTGTTAGTGATGAGAACACATGGCTGTCTTCCTGCTGCTTTTCGTCTGGACCTGTCGTTCAAGTTGCAAACCTGGAGAGCACCAGGGGGTCCTAGGTGCCAGGCGGGGTCTGGCCGGGCTGCCTGTGGGCCCTGGTCCCCCAAGTGGCGCCTCTGGTGTCACCATCAGTGGGTAGGGTTTGCTCAGGGCAGGGCTTCCCGACTGCAGGCCCGCGTGTGCCCTGGAAGGGCCGTGCGTGGTGCTGCCTGTCAGCGTGCCGCTGTCACTGGGGCACCCAGGGGAGCCCTTGTGCCCGGGCCTTTCTCCGTCCAGCTTCCAGCCCCCCCCGTCTCCGTCCCCCTTGGGGAGGGTTCCCCCTGCCCCGAGCCATCAGAGCACCTGCTCCCTGCAGGCTGCCACCGCAGGCCAGCATCTTCCTTGGGGACTGGGCTCAGCAGGGGCCCTGCCTGGCCTGTGCCTCCTGGACCTTTGCAGCAGGAGTGACCTCAGGTCTGTGTCACAGAAAGGGAAGGAGGAGGGGACATTGCAGGCCTGTGGCGGCTCTGGAGTCTCATGTGAGTTGAGTGCTTCTGAAGCGCTGGTCACCAGGATTCAGTGCCTCACACGGGGTGTGGGTCTCAGTGCCCGAGAGACTGGACTTCATCCTCTGAACTGCGTTTCATTTGAAATTCCAAGTTCCCTCAGCACCTGGCACTTCGGAAGGAAAGTAAGTCATCAGCCACATTTCCTGGCCACGGAAGCGTTGAGACGCAAGAGGAAGAGAGCGTGTGAGTGTGTGAGTGTGTGAGCTTGACTTCGTGGGAACCTGTGTGTGTGAGCCTGTGTCGTGTGTGTGCTGAAATAGTTGTGCCGCACAGCTCACGTGCGGTCCCTCCCACTGTCCTGGGAACAGCTGGGCCCAAGTCCACCTGCCCCGTCCCCTTGTCTGTGGGCCCTGCTGAATGTGACATTGTCAGGTCAACACGTGGCCGTCCCTCGGCAGGACCGGGGCACTTAGTGCCGGGGTGAGCTGCAGCCCCGTGGCAGGGCCCCTCGCCCTGGGGTGTGCGATCCCGTTTGCTGCCTGCTGAGCGGCGCGGCCTGGCCTGCCACAAGCCAGCTGCTCGCCTGTTACGCCAGCAGAAGCTGATGCTCGCCCTTTCTGCCTCGGCGTGTGTCCCCCACGTGCTCTGGCGGCCCTTTGTGAAGAAGGAGCTGGGGCGGCCTGCACTGAGCCAGACCACTCACGGTTCCTAGACAATTGGACATCGTTCACCCAAATCCCTTCAGTCTGGTGACGTCTGCGGCCACGTGGTCTGTGTCCTGTGCCCTGACGTCGGCCTTTCTGCTTCTTCACCTGCAAGTGGGAGCGCAGTGACCGGACCTGGGGAGCCAGCAGCCCCAAGCCCGCCCTGTAAACAGCAGACGTGTCCCCACCCTCCCAGGCAGTTGTGGGGCCCAAGTACTGGACACAGGAGAACCCTGGGAGTGGAAGAAGGCAGGATGGAGGTGCCCCGGAGCCCCACAGTCCTGTGGAGGAGGCAGGGGAACGAGGGCCACTCCTGTCGGCCACGGTGCAGTGACTCGACATCAGTGTTCAAGACCATGCTGCCCCGGGTCTTGTCCACCCACAGCTTGTCCTGGGTCAGTGTGGACGGGAAGATGGGCCCAGGGCCTCATGGTATGTGTGCGGAGGGGGCCGGAGGGGCCGGATGTGGCCTGATTCTGTGGGGACAGAGCCGCATGGGGAGCAGGGTGCCTCCCTGTCCAATCCACACCCCCTGGGGCCTGGCGCCCCAGCCACCACGTGAGGGGCGTGGTCTGTGTGGCTCCTCGGGTGTGGCCCACAGGCCCACCAAAGGCAGTGAGGGCACCGGCGGGCCCACCTTGAACCATCTGGCCGTGGGACGGAGCTGGGCCTGAGGGCCTCCCAGCCGCGGCAGCGCACCCGATGGCCGGAAGCGTGCGGGCTGCAAGGCACTCGGGCCAAGCCGCCCTTGGCAGCCCCTTGCCCGGGCCCAGGGTCCTCCCTGTCCGCCCGTGTGGAGCTCGCTGCTGGGGTGCCCCCTGTACCCCGAGTCCTCGCAGTCTGACCCCACAGTAGCATCCTCCGGGTCAGCACCCACTCATGCTGGCTGGCCTGGCAAAACCACAGCTGGGAGCTCCAGCATCTGCCAGATAACATCACACGTCCTAAAGGCAGACGGGGGCACCGTGGCAAGGCCACCCCCTTCTATCCCCACCCCTCCTCGAAGGGCCCCTCCTCAGACACCACCTGAGGGGGACAGGCCCCGGCCCAGCCGTGGAAATTTGGAAAGAGCCCCGAGTCAGTGAGTCTGTGACACTCAGGGCTCAGCTTCAAGGGGACAGTGGGAACCCAGGTCATCAGGCCTGGAGTGTCTGTGTTCCCGGACCCAGCCCTGTCCAGGCCTCCCCTCTGGTGGCACCGGCCACTGAGCTGCTGGGGTCGTGCGCAGATGGGGCTGCCTCCGGGCCGACCCCTGGTGGGGACCCCTCACAACCCCCGGCAGACTTGGAGGGAGGGCTTTCTGCACCCACGCGCCTCTGTGGCTCTGACAGGAGCGCCCGGCAGAGCCAGCCTGCCTGCCTGCTGCCCGTGCCCGCTCTCTGAACGCCGCTGAGGCCACACCTGATTTCATTTTAATGTCATTTGTTAATGTGTCCACACAAGTCGAATCCCGGTTTTTTAACTCAGCCTAAAGCTCAGTTTTTAAAGCGAAAACAACTTCAGCCACTACATGGTTTCCGGAACCTCTTCAGTCCTCTTTGGGCTCATTCACATTTGTCAAACAGCTTGTGTGTGCTCAGTGCTGGGGTGACCAGAAGTGACAGTGCCCGGCCCCCCACTGCACGGTGCGTCCAGGACACACGGAGGCCCAGGCCCGAGTCAGGATGCGCCACAGAGCTGAGTCTCTTAGGCCAGAAGTCACCTGGGGACCAGTGCTTTGCAGCCAGGTGCAGGCCCACCACCTCCACTCAGTCTTACTGTGCGCCTCACGTTCAAGGGCGTCTGTCGGGTCCATGATCACTGAGCACCTCGTGTCCACCGGGCAGTGCGCTCCTCTCACCCCTGGATCTGTGACGGCGTCTGCCTCCACTGTTACCAGGAGCCCCGGAGTCTAGGAAGGAAAGGTCCTCACACAAAGGTGCCAAGT